TGCTCCCGACACCCTGCCCAGAGCAACTCACCTCCGCCCAAGCACCACGCCCCCATCTCCTGGATGCTGTGAGCCAGTGTTCATCTCTCCTCCCCCCAGCCCCTGCCTGGGCTCATATCTCAGGGGTCTGCCCCTCCTTCTCTGTCTGCCCCTCCAGCATGGGGTGGTGAGTGAGGGGAGGGGTGGTTAGACCTGGGGCAGGGGTGATGGGAATCATCACTTAAGAGGTTTTGAGCTAAAGAACCAGTGAAGGAGAGGCTGGCCATGTAATGAACTCTCCTGGTGGGTCAGGAGTTTGCGCCCCCAGCAACCCCAGGGCTGAGTGGCCTTGCCGCTCACGGGTGCCACCACACAGCTCACACCCAACTAGGGGCCCCAGTGCAGCCTCCGCCTCCTGCCGCCTTCTCCCTGGGGGGCTCCCTCAACCATGATCTTTTTCCTGGGGCTGCGCAGAGTGGTAAGCGATGCCCACACTGGGTGGTGGACAGGCACGCAGGCCTGCTGGCGCAGTTGAGACTCCTGGAGGCAGAGCTGTTCCCATGTGCCCTCATCAGGAGCCCTTCAGTCAGGGCCAGGGAAGGCGAAGCTGCCTACATGGACTGGGGCTCCAGTTTGGGGACCTGCTGGTGGTGGTGGTGGTGGGGGTGCTTCAGCCCTGGCCTTGGAGCCCCAATAGTTGTGAGCAGGAGGGGCTCCGAGAGCCAGGATGGGGTTGGGGTGCTAAGACCCAGCACTGTCCCCCAGGGCCGGGAGGGGCGGCAGGCAGGGGCCCACAGGAGAGCAGGGCAGGCCAGTGTGCTGGCTCCTGGGGACTCTTTTGCAGAGAACATGGGGATACGGGCATTTCCCGGGACCCCCAGGCTGGTAGGGATAGAGTCACTGGATGGTGTAGGCAGGAGGCTTCCAGGTAGGTCCCAGCTAGGTGTACTGACCTGGAAGGAAGGAGGAGGTGGAGGGACAGGGCAGGGCTGGAGGGAAGGGCCTGGTTACTCAGCCACTCTGCCCCAAGTGAGGGGCTCACTGGTGTACTGTTGGAGAGCACTTGCAGGGGTAGCCTGGAAGACATGGTGGGGCCCTGGTGACATGGAGCAGGCTGAAAAAAGATCTAGCAGGTAGAATCCTGGGGTCTGAGAGTTGTGGGGAGTCGTGGCAGGGTGTGGGGCACACTGTGGGCAGCTGAGTTTGGGGGACCTAGAAGCATGCCCAGGGTAGAACTCTAGGAGGCAGAGCCCAGGCTGGGGAGTAGGGACCATTGTGTGGGTGTGGGTGGGGCCACAGGGGCAGAGGGAGGAGTGGGAGGCTGAGGGCAGAAAGAGAGGAAGAGGGTCCCCGGAAGGGGGGAGCAGGAGGACCTGGGCAGAGGAGTGGATGCCAACAGGAGGTGAGGCCTGCAAGCTGGGCCATGGGGCTGTCTGCACTCCCTCCCTCTCCACCTCCACCCCCCAGCCCATAGGTTTAGGAGCGGGGCTCACCAATCCAGGACTCTCACCAGGAACAGACATCCAAGGAGGGACTTGCTCAGAGCTGGTCTGATGGGAGGGCGTGGGTAGGAGAAGGGAGCTCCCAGAGGTGGGGTGGGGGGTGGAGTCAGGAGCGGGGCGGGGGGGGGGTGGAAATCAGCAGGAGACCCAGGTGGTGGCTGCAGTGGCCCCTGGAGGCAGCTGGTACCCCCAGGGCCCTGACTCGGGGTGGCCCCTCTGAGCCTGGCTGCCCAGCAAGGACCAGCCTGGAGGGTCAGGGCCCACCTCTGCATGCAGGGCCCTGGGGGCTTCTGTGAATTATGGGGGCTGAGAGGTCAGGGGAGCAAAGACTGCGGGAAGCAGCAACTCAGCCAGCCCAGGACCAATCCGGAACTCTGCGTCCAAGTCTGCACACCCGCCCTCACCCTCCCCGTGTGCTCAGAGCCCACCGTGTACCCACCACGTCTCACCCTCTGGCAGGCTGCAGTGTGGCCCTCCCTCCTGCTGTTCTTCTCAGAACCCCTCAGGGCTGTCTGAGTTCACCTGCTGCAGGCAGAGCCCCACCCCTTACCCCGGGCCTAACTCTGCTGGCCTGCTACCCCTGAGCCCAGAACCCCCCATGCTGGGGCCCCTCTTCCCCCACAGATCCACACCTTCATGCGGCCCCCTCCCCTCCAGGAACCTGGTCTCTCTCTGCTCTCCCTGTCTCCTAGTCCTCCCCCGCCAGCGCCCCTTACCCACTCTCCTGCTGTGACAGGCTATGGCCCTGCCAGGCTCCTGCCACTCCAGTGCAGCTGTCGCCCCAACTCAGCACTGGGGCAGCGCCCAGGCCAGAGGGAACCTGAACCGGATGAATATGTAGAATCGGCTAGAAGCTCCCAGCAACCCCAGGCTCAGGCCCATTTAAGCCCAGGCTTCCCCTGCTCTCTTCGGCACCCAGCCCCCACCATGCCCTGCCAGGAACTTTAGGCTGGGGGCCCTGGCGGGGAGCCTGCCCACCCAGAGGGTCCTACACAGGCAGGCAGGCAGGCAAGTGTCTATGACCCCACCCTGCAGGCCAGCTTCCTCCTCCCCGCCTGTGGCCTTGGGAAGGCAGTGGTCCTCTCTGAACCTTGGTTTCCTCTTCTGGGAAACGGTTGCTTTAAAATTAAAAAAAGAGGCCCCCTGAAGTCCTCTGCAGAGGAGCTGGCCTTAGATGGGCGCATCACCAGCAAAAAGCAGACCCTCTGCACCTCCCACCCTACCCAGCCCCAACACAGGCCAGTCCTGGGAGCCAGGAAGCTCAGCTCCTAGCAGCCTCTCTCTCCCTCCCAGCCTCCAGTCTCCAGTCTCCCATAGGCACAGGCTACGTCCACCTTGGTGTCAGCGGGCTGCGGCCAGTCTGGGAGAGCCCTAGGCCAGGCCACCCAAAGGGCAGCAGGTGTGTGTTGCTGACTCAGTAGAGGGGGTGCCCTGGGGATCCCTAAGAAGGGTTAGCTCCCAGCATGGGCCTGTTCTGTTGCCAGGAAGCCGAGGAGCAGGGTGGGGGGCGCCATGGCCTGTAGAGTGCAGGGGAGTCAAGGGGAGGCCAGCAGGCTTGAAGACAAGGAGCCCTGAGCATCATGTCCAGCTGGTGGCCCTGTGTGGGGCCATCCTTCACTGCCATCAGCCTCCTGGATGTCACGGGGGCTGACAGTGCCACTTCCTGGACACTGGGGTCACCCAGGGCCTGCAGCAGGCTCAGTGTGGAGCAGGAGCGGTGAGGACTCGCCACACCTGCTGCCCTAACCTGTTCACTGGGCTGCAGGCGGGGTCCTGCGTGGTTTCCTGGTCGGGCCTGGGCAGAGTTGAGGTGCATGTGCTGGCACTGCCACATGCGCCGCGCTGCTTTCTTGGGCACCAGGGGGCCAGGCCCGGTCAGGGGTGTGTGCACGTGGGCGCGCCTCTGCTGCCCTTGGACCCTGCCCAGATCCTCTGTGTGCCTGTGCCCACGCCTGGTCTGGGAGTCCAGACCCTCCATCTGTCTGTCCACCCCGCTGTCCACGTTGATGTGTCCGCTCCGTTCTGTCCCCAGGCTTCATGTAGAAGATTTCAGTCTGGACTCCTCTCTGTCTCAGTAAGTGCTTTGCTTACAGGTGTCTTCCAGCCCCTTGGCAGACCCTGGGGGAGGGCGGCTCGGCCCGTGCCAGCCCTGGTGGGAGAGTCCACTCTGCCCAGAAGCCCCTGTCCTGCAGCCGGACCTTGGGCGGGGCTGAGGCTTGGGACAGGATGATGTGCAGTTCCCTGGGGAGGAGACAGGGAGGCAGAAATGAGGGTGTCCAGAGGCGGGTACCCCCTTTGTCCCGCAGTGATGGCTACATACCTGGAGAGGGAATGGGGACCCCTGCCGTGGTGCCTGTGTGGAAACAGGCCTTTAGGTCCCACTGAGGCCCTGGCTTCTGCCCATCGCAGCCACCAGTGCAGGTCCAGGCCCCTGGGCGGCTGGCTGGGCTGCACCACTGTGAACCCCACCAGGCTTTACCAGCATCAGTTAAGATTTAGGTCAAGTTGAAAGTGCTTTGAGGCTGGGGGACCTCAGCAGCCATGTCGAGTGCATTCCTGGGAAAGAGCCCCTTGCCCGCTCAGACCCACGGTGTTCAGTGCGGCCTCCAAGGGGGGCTGGGTTATTCCATTAATCAGCATCAGTGGTGGCGACAGCCACGCCCACTTGGTACTTCCCGTGATGCCCTCCACGTTGCCACGTACAACCTGGGACTCGGTGTCATTACCCCCCAGCAGGAGCCTGGGAATTGGAGGCTGGACCAACCTTGGGCTGCAGTATCCCAGCCGGTCCCCTGTTGGGTAACGGGTGACTGGGAAGGCACCTCCACGGTCACAGGGCTCTCCAGGCCCCAGCGGCTCCCCAGGAGCGGGGCTGAGACTGTGGGAGGAAACAGAAGGTTACAGCCACCCGAGGGGCCGAGGCTGCAGTTCCACTGCCCCAGAGTGGAGTTGTCACTGGTGCAGCAGATGTCCCCAGGCCCTTGGAGGCCCAAGGAGGCTCCCCGGGACCCCTGGCTCAGCCAAGGTGCCAGACCCTCTTGGATGTGTGTGCAGTGGGCCCCAGACGGGGCTACCCTACTGGGGAGGACCAGCCAGGCCCATCTGTCGGTCTGAGAGGCCGCTGCCCACCCTGCCGGCCCCTTGGAACCCTCCCTTTCCTCAGTGTCCCAGGTGCCCACTGCAAGACAACCTGGGAAGGCGGGTGTCCTGTGGCCCAGCCTGAGGCCCCGTCCCCTTCCACCCTGCCTTGGAAGTGGAACCAGAGCCACCCTGGTGAGAGTCCAGGCGGGGTGAGAGGGATGTCCCCGCCAGAATGTTTTTTGACACCCATAGGCAAATCTGCAGGCTCAGGGCTGGCTGTTCTGGGGGCAGAACAGCCCCTTCCTCCAGCCCAATGACCTTCCCCAGCGGCCCCCCTGCCAGTCTTCTGTGCCTCCAAACCCAGACCAGCCCCAGGCACCTGCCACCCTGGCCGGCTCCTTACCCACCCACCCCGGGACGTGACGCTGCTTGGGGAGCGGAGCGGGCCACGTGTCTGCCCTTGCCGGGGCCCCGGGCTGGTCACAGGCTCTGCCCATTCTCAGAATAGCTGGCCTTGGGGTCAGTAGTTGGGCCTGGGCTCTGCTTTTCCTTCTTGCCCACGGCTCCGTGGCCTCCTGTGTGGAGCTCCCAGGCACCTGCTGCAGAGCCACCCGCAAGCAGTGGCAGACAAGGGAAGGAGGCAGCCGGACCGCGGTCCCATGTGAGTGCACGGCTGTCATGGCTGGGCGGGTGGGCCTGCCTGCAACCGTGTGCCCGGTGTCTGGCCACCCTCCCACCAGGGCTGGCCGTCCGGCCCTGCATTTGCAGCTTCCCAGCCCAGGCCATCTGCCAGCACCGCCTGCCAGGAATCCCGGGAAGACCCGCCCCCCGAGCCTGCCAGTCAGCAGGGAACGCTGCGGCCCCCGCCCTCCACCTGCCCTCGCCTGGCAGGTCCCATCCTGATGTGGGGTGGGTGGGGTTCAGGCCACTTGGCTGGAACAAGGGGACCTCCTCAGGTCCACCCCAGTGTGGGCAAGACTCTGGTCACAAGGAGGCAGCAGGCCCGGGCCGCACACCGGGTCTGAGCTCGCTCTAACACAAGCTGCATGGGGATGGGGCAGAGCTACCTGCTGGGACCTGACCCTGCACCCCCAAAACTCGGGAGACCCAGGCCCAATGGAGAGCCCAGAGCCCCAGTGCCTCTGACCCCCTGGGTGACTGGTGTGGTCTGCCTTACCATGCATGTAGGGACAGGGCTGGCGGGAGTCCTCTGAGGCGCAGGGCTCAGGGAGATGGCTCTCCAGCCACCTGGCCTGAATCCCTGTCCTCACCAGCCCAAAAGCTGCTCGCTCTGAGAAGGACAGGAGGGACCAGGGCTGCGGACTGTCCCAGGACAGGGTGTGGGTTTGGCTTGTCCAGTCCTCGTGGCTCATGGCCTGACCCCAGGGGGCACCCCAGGGGCCATCTGAGGCCCAGATTCCCTGAAGCCTCAGGGCCAGGTGACCAGGCCTGCCCAGTACATGCCGGTGAGTCACCCCTGCTGTAGGCCCTCCTGCACCCCTGGCAGCAGGCAGCAGGCAGCAGTGTCCAGCCCTCCCCAGCGGGCATCTTGCCGAAGGAGTAAGTAAAGAAATGTGAGTGAACCCCCAGTAGGAGGACCCTCTTTTCTGCCCTTGCCCGAGGCTCTTGAGCTGTGTTTGCAGGCAGCTTGACACCTGGCTTCAGGACCTGTCACCATGGGAGCTCTCCCAGCCCCCAGTCCCCTGCCCAGCTCCTCCCTGCTCCTCAGAGCATCTTCCTGTGAGCTTGGTCACCAGCTCCACCATGGGGCTCAAGCCACAGCTGGACAGACCACAGTCCTCACCAAGTTCAGGCCTCTGCCCACTGCGCATGGTAGGCGTCAGCCACAGGCCCGCTGCAGATGCACACGGGGGTTTGGGGTATGGGGCCGTCCTTTTCGGGTGGCGTGAGCGATAGGTGTGGCCACAGTCGGACACACGGAGCAAGACCAGCCCTGAGCTCCCGGACTGTCTGAGCCCCTGGGTGCCAGGGCCCGCCCCTCACTTACTTCTCCCTTTCGAAAAGCACTGTTTAGCTGGACTGTACAGGGAAGGACCCTGAGACGCCTACAGGACCATTTTAATTTCTCCATGGTCTAAGCACCCCCTGCCAGGCACCCTTGGGACACCCATGGCGGGGGTGGGGTGTGCTCCTGTCACTGCCTGGTCAGCCAGTCTGCCTGTCCCTGACCTCAGGCCGGCTCACTTCCTCCCATGAGCTTGCTGAGCCAGGACCAGCCCATGGAGAGTGTCAGCGGGTGGGCCAGCACCCTCCCCAGCACCACTCTGGGCCGAATTACACTGCAGCCTTAGCCGTACTGCAGGGTAAAGGAGAAGCTTGGAATTGATTTTTGTGGTGGTGGGAGGAGCAGGCACCGTAGCTCGTGAAAAATAAAAGTGGAGGGGGCTCCGTGGGTTCCCAGCGCCAGGCTGGACCTCCCGGGGTTGGTCTGCCTCAGGGCATCTTCCCTCACCACTCTTCCTCTCCTCTCATGCGAGAGCCTGGGGCACAGGGGTCTGTCCAGAGGGACGTCCACAGCCGCCTGAGGGGGCAGGCTGACGAGTGATGGGGGTTCCACATCTGGGGGCTGGAGAGGGTCTAGGATCTAGAAATGAGGATGTCAGAGGCATGACCAGTGTCAGGCCCGTGGTCCTGATCCACGAGCCCATGTGCGACTGTGAGAGGCACGTGGGCCAGGAGCCGGGGCAGGGAGGGCACCAGCAGGTGTCGGGGTGCAGGGGCTGAGGAGGATGGAGGAGATTCAGCCACCAGCCATATGGGTCGAGCACGGCCTTGCTGGCTCAATGAGGGTGCTGTGGGGCTGCCGGAATGGAGGGGCCCAGAGGTGAGGACCCCTCCTTAAGGCTTCGCTGTGTGGGGCAAGAGGGTGGGGGGGCATGTTTGTGAGCTGGTGCTCTGGGCCACGTGGTCCCTCTAGACATGTGGGTGCTGCTGAGGGGCATCTGCCCCTTGATCCGGCCCCAGCCCAGCCGGGCTTGTCTGAGTCCCTCCTCCAGAGAGAAGGGACCCTTGGGAGCTCCCCGACCCCACTCCAGGTGGCACCTACAGAGCTTGGGGCTCCAATGCAGCGGGCTGTGCTGGGGTGCTGTGTACAGTGGGGTATGCTGGGGTGCAGTGTACAATGGATTGCTAGGGTACAGTGGGGTGTATTGGGGTGTTCTGGGGTGCAGTGGGGTGTGCTGGGGTGCAGTATACCGTGGGGTACGTTGAAGCACAGTGGAGTACACAAATGTCCTGGAGGACAGTAGGGTGTGCTGGGGTGCAGTGGGGTACACTGACCACTGGCTTTGTGCATCTTCTCCCCCGGGCCTTTCTTGAGCCCTGAGACTAGTGGAGGCCACTGTCGTCAGGGCTGGGTCCCCAGCAAGTGGCAGGTCGGGGAGGTGCTGGGGCTCTGCCCAAGGCCCCTCCCTCAGGCCCAGCCCCAGGGTAGGTCCAGATGGCTGAGGCCAAAACATCAAGTCTGTATCAGGTACTTTACCTCGAGCAGACTTTGGGGAGTGATGAGTATTTTAAACACTTCTTGGGGGTGTTAGGGCAGCCATCCCCTAGCAGAGCAGCACATTTAACTTTCAAGGTGAGAGTGGCATTAACTTCTGCTTTGACGGGAGCCAGAGTCTGGGCAGAGGAGGAGGACGCGTACAGCCCACCCACCTGGGTGTCAGAGCCCCCTGCCCTGGGAGGAGATGACAGGGAGGTGGGGGTGGGGAGCAGGGACCTGCGAGAGCCGGCACCTCACCTCTGCCTGTGGGCCACTGTCCTGCGTCCCCTCTGCTCAACAGCCACCTCCTCCATGCAGCCCTCCAGGATTCCCCTGGGCAGCAGGAGTCTGCCTTCAGGGTGCTCAGCACCTCTGCCTCCCATGTCATGACCATTGTATGGAGCTGTGGGTAAGCAGCTGCCTCGCCTAGGGGGGGGTCTCGTCCCACCCTGACAACATCCCTGAGGGTCACGGGCTGCCTCCACCTGACATTTGGGTAAGGTGGGGCACAGGGCATGGCATCTGGACCAGGCCTTTCTGGCCAAAAGCCTCACCCCAAGTCCCTGGGCTGCTGGTGCCTCTGCCTGGTCATGGGGTGAAGCCTGGCCACAGTGATGCCCGTGGGCTGCTCGTGGGATTCCTAAGACTCTCTCGCCGATGAGGGCAGATGCAGCCTGTGATGGAGGCTGTAAGAAGCTTGGGAGACAGCAGGTACAAACCCAGAACAAGGGGGCCCCGGCCCCCGGGGGCCCCACTTCCACGAGTGAAGTGGTGTGAGCCGACCGTTCCTGCCCTGGGAACCTGGCTGCGGGGTCATCCGTTGTCCAGCCTGCTGTCAACACTGGTGTTTTCATTCTGGTGGAACATTAAGCCCTCGCCCACCCGTCCAGCATGTGGGTCACAGCAGGCCCGTTGCCTGCAGGCCTCACATGACCCTGGGTGGCCAGATAGCTTGTTCTAGCTGCCCTATTCAACGGGGCTCCAGCAACTTCTGTGGGTTCTGGGAGCCTAGACAGGGGCTCCCAGCATCTGAGGATTGTCCGGGTGCAGTGAGCTCAAGGGAGGGGAGTGGCTGGAGGGGCCCCACTGCTGGCCGTCTGCCCCAACTGTCCTGCAGCCTGCATGAGCCCCCAGGCATAACCACCAGGGGATGCCAGACAGAGCACCTGCCCACCAGCTTCTGGAACATTCTATACAGGTGATATGGCCTTGGAGCCCCAGGCCAGGGGCCACACAGGCCACATTTAATCCTGGCAGCTGCTGGTGACAGCGAGGCTGGGGGCCCATGAGTGTGCACCTCTGCAGGGCCCGGGGCATTGAGACGGTGTCAGCTGGTGGGCAGGTCTGCCGGGGGCCTGGGAATGTCGGACACGGGGCCTCCATCTGAGGTGGAGGCACTGACCTTGGCTCGGGCAGTGGGGAGGAGCAGCCTGGTGCAGGAATTTGGGCTTGAGCCCCTGCTGACCCAGAGCCCATGCCCGTGCTGGCCCCCAGGGTCCAGGTGGAGTTCTACGTCAACGAGAACACCTTCAAGGAGCGGCTCAAGCTGTTCTTCATCAAAAACCAAAGATCCAGTGAGTGGGGCCTGCAGGGGTGGGGGGTGTTTGCAGAGGAGGGGCTGTGTCGGTGAGCGGTTGGGGGTGGGGCACAGGGGCGGTGGGAGTGCCCCCATCTCAGCTCCGCACCACCTTCCATGGTGGGAGCTGGAGGGAGCCTGTGGGGACCCGGCCCCCTCCCAGGACCCTGCATGTGCCCCCCCCAGTGCAGGCTCCCGCCCCACCCTTCCCAGCAGGAGCTTGGCTACCTGGGATGCAGGATGGGGCCCGGAAGTGGTTCCCATGGGTCCTAGTCCATTGGTCTGTCGGTTGCTCCCCAAACCCCTCCAGTCTGCCCCGGGAGCCAGAAACTCGGGGAATCCTCTGCATGCCCACCTTAGGATGTCCTGCCTTAGGACGGGGTGGAGCTTTCAGAGTCTGGCCCAACAGCACCCCCTCAATGCAGAGCACCCCGTCAGTGCTGGCAGGGCCAGTCATGGTGCCCGAGGCCCAGTAGGGAGGGGGAGTGTGGCCTGACCACCGTCCCCGCCCCCACAGGCCTGAGGATCCGACTGTTCAACTTCTCCCTGAAGCTGCTCACCTGCCTGCTCTACATCGTCCGAGTGCTGCTCGACGACCCAGCCCTGGGGATCGGATGGTGGGTGACCCCGGCCCAGGGCTGAGCCTTCCTGCTGGGCCTGCCGCTGTTACAGAGGCCCACGGGGTCTGCATGAGGGTCCATGCCCGGGGCCTTGGGGAGTCCTTCCTTCCCCCACGTGACCCCACCTGACATCTGTCCCCAAAAAAGCTGCGGCCAGCACACTGCCCGCAGGATCCCACTGACCGGAAAGTTGCGCATGAGCGGACGGTGTCAGTGTCTGGGGACAGCGGCTGCGTTTGCAGCTGTGTGCGGACCTGGACAGGTCTCTCCTTGGGGGTCTGGGATGCCGCCCCCCTCCCCCCAGCCCTGGTGTGTGGGAGGCTCTCAGCTACTGCTGGGTGGGGGTTGGGGGTGTCGCCAGGCCCCTGGGTGGGGTGGGTGTGAGCCCTGCAGGGTCTCTGCCCCTTTCTTGGAGCTCCACCTGGTTCCACTGTGCCTCCCGGGCCCCTGGTGTCCTCTTCGTCACCTCCCCGTTTACCCAGAACACGGGCCATGTGACTTCCTGGCAAAGCCCTGGGAACAGCTGCCTGGGCCCACGGCTGGAGGCGGGGTGGGGCGCACGGGCTCCTGCTGCGGCGTCTTCCTGCTGCGGTCGAGGTGGCCCGGCCGTTTCCACTCGTGATCCTCGTGGGGAGCCCAGCCTTCCTCCCTGGAAGCTGGGGTCCTTCTCTCTCTGCCTGTGTCTGGCGAGTCTCTGTGACGCCTGCGTGGCCCCTTCTCTTCACCACGTTGGTCCCCGCGGACACCGAGCTGGGTCCACGCCGGGCTGGGCTCCTCTAGAGTTGGGTCTTTGGAGGTTGCCTCCCCCGTCTGCTCCGAGAGCCCCCCTTGGCCTCCCTCATACCTGGATGTGGGATTCTGGAATGATTCTCTCCCTCCTGTTTCCCTCTTGTTCTTTCTGGCGGCTCTCTTTGGCCTTCTCTCCAGCTCTCTAGCTGAGATTTTCACTTCTGCTCTCGTGGTTTCTAATTCCCAAGAACACTTCATCTCCGAGTGTCCGTCCCTGCTGTAGGCGGCACTGTCTTCCATGCCTCTGGAGCTTGTCTGAAACCCTTTTTCTTGCTTATGTGTTCCTCTCTTGCTCCGTCTCTGCTCTCCTGGGCTTCTGTTGAGGGGACTTCCTCAGAAGTCCGGCCACCCTGGCACGGCTCACAGTGAGGGTGGGCACTCAGAGGCTGCGAGCCCTGCGGTCAGGGGGTGCGGCCTGGTCACCACCGTCCTCTGGGTGACCGGGGTCACTTTCTGCCCAGCTCCTCAGAGTAGATCTTCCCTAGAGGGGAAGGCCTGGTACTGGGCTCCTGTAGATGGAGGGAGAAGGAAGAGGGGTGAAAGTTTGCTGTGCAGGCTTGTACTTACCCACCCCTGCCCCCAAGTGCAGCAAGATGGATTCCCCAGGCCAGACTCTTTCACTCTCTCCTGAGAACGGACCTCTTGTCTTCATCCCGAGTGCAGGAGGACGGACAGATCCCACCATGGTGGTTTGAGAAGGAAAACTGGGGCTCTAATTGACTCTCATACTGACTTTTGTGGGTGCATCCCACCTTCTCACACTCCCAGAGGCATCTGGGTCATCTGGCTCCACATCCCCATGGGGACCAGGTCTGCTGTGTTCATTGCACAGATGGGAGAGCGAATGGATGGATGAGGGGGCTGGTAGAGGCATGGGTAGGATGGATGGGTGGGTGGGTGGGTGGTTGGATAGATGATGGATAAATGAATGGATGAATGGATAGACAGAGGATGGAAGGCTGGATAAATCAGTGAATGGATGGAGGGATGGTGGATGGATGGACAGTGCACGGATGGACAGTGGGTGAGTAGATGGATGGATGGGTAGGTGCATAGATAGATGCATGGAGGTTGGGAGGGTGGCCAGCCCCTTCTATGGGCGGTGAGTTTGCAACAACAGCCTCAGTAAGACTGAGGAGGAAGCAAGTCAGTTGAGAAAAACTGGAGGGAGCTCCCATCACCATATGGCTCTGAGAGTGAGGGCCCATTGATCAGCGACACTGGCTTTGGTTATAATCTGGGGCAGAACTAGTGTGTCCATCAGACCCTTGCCACCTTCCCAGTGACAGGTATCCAGGTAGCTTAGGGGACTGGTCCTCAGGAGTGACTCGGTCTTGGAGTCACCCCAGGGGGTAGGAGCTCTGCTTTCTCTCCATGCCTCCCTCCCACTGTCCAGCCTTGTGTGCAGCAGCTGTGGCGCTCAGGAGCCCCTGAGTGTTCCGTGGTGCCGTGTCCAGCCCTACCCGGCAAGCTGCTTCCTCTGGCTGGCCTCTCGCACCTCAGAGGGTTGTACCCTCATCAAGCCTGGCCTTCTTCATTAGAGACCCTCCGGGCATGTCTGCAGGGTGGGAGCAGGCTGCCTGGTCCCTCCACCCCATCTCTGCTAGAACACAGATGCCTGAGATGTGTGGGCTGGGCCCTGGGAGGGGAAGAGGGTGCCCCCCACACTCCCTGAGCCTGTGGCAGCTCTGGGAGGGGTCTGGTCCCTTCAGGGGTGGTACTGGGAGGGGGAGGGGTTGCGGTTGGGCCAGCTCAGTCTCTCCACAGCTGGGGCTGCCCCAAGCAGAACTACACCTACAATGAGTCGTCCTCCGAGATCAATTGGTGAGTTCAGTGCCCAGCTCCCACTCAGAGGCCGAGGGTGGGGTGCGGTGGACAGAGGTTGGCACTGCCTGGCCCCCAGGTCAGATGCCCAGCCTCAGCCTGTGAGCCTCTTGAGGTCCCTGGGGACATGGTCAACCAGATTCCCCAGGCCCTGGTGGAGCAGTGGGCAGCGCTGGGGCACAGCCCTGCGGAGAACCCTGAGGGCCCAGGAGCGATCTGTGAGTTACAGCTAGTGTCGCCACAAGCAGGCCTGGCCCAGGCCCCATCACGGATGATGGGTGGGGAGGAGAGAAGCCGGGAGGACCTGCCAGAGTGTCAGTCACTGCGACTCCATGTCGTGATACTTTAGCCCAGGAGAGCAAGTGCCCCTGTCAGGCAGTGGGAAGTGACCCCAGAGAGATAGGATGCCTGGTCCAGAGGTTAGGACATGTCCCAGGGGCTTGGCCACCTCCCTGTTAGGGCCTTCTCCCTTCCAGTCTCTCACCGTTTGTCCCCAAAACCCAGAGCAACCCCCTCGGCCTTATTCTTGCACCCACAACCCTCCCCTGGTACCCCCAGCCCAACCTTGCAGAGCAGACCTGGTCCTTCACAGCAGCAAGACCGAATTTGCTGGAGCCCTGACCCCTGGTTCCAGCTCCTCAGCTGTTCCTACTCCAGCCCGTCGCCCATCTCTGGGACACACAGAGGGTTGAGGAAGAAGGGACATGCCAGCCCTTCCCAGCACACCAGGCCCTTGGAAGTCCCTTCTTTCTGGGGCTTTGGCTTGGAGTAGGGGTAGGGTGGCAGGTGCTCACAATAGGCCCAACACCCCCCATCAGATAGGGGGCCCTCCCACCTCAGGGGGGCCCTCGGGGGTCAGGGCCTTGGACACCTGGGGTCTGGCTCTGCCTGGGGAAGCAGGCTCAGCGCTGAGCTGGCCTGGCCCCATCCCTCTGTTCTCACCCAGCCTTTGTCCAGAGGCTACGTCTGGGCAGGAAGACCCCCTCCCCATGTCGCTCCCCTCACAATAGCCCTGCCAGGTTATGAACAAGGAATTGAGGTCAGGAAACCTGAGAGCGTGGCTGGTCAGCACCTCCCATGCTGGGACACGTGTAGGAGCCCATCCCCAGGAGCCTGGGCAAGAAAGGGTGGCACCTAGGCCAGCTGGAGCCTCTGAGCCGGCAGCCCAGCCCCCGGGCAGGCAGTTTAGGCCCTGAGTTCACAGGCATCTCCCTGGAGGCCTCCGGGGAACCTCCCCTCCATCCTGTTCTCGTCCCCTCTGAGGGCAAGGCTGGTGCCCTCTGTCTGGCTGGAGACCCCGGCGGCTGGGGTCTCCCAGCCCGGGGTTCACCTCCCTCTCTCCCCAGGGCCCCCATCCTGTGGGTGGAGAGAAAGATGCCTCTGTGGGCCATTCAGGTGAGTGGGTGGGGTGGGTGTGGCTCGGGGTGGGCCCTGCCTCCCCCAGCCCCGCTCAAAGGCTCCTGACCCACCCCACCCCAGGTCATCGTGGCCATAATCAGCTTTCTGGAGACCATGCTCCTCATTTACCTCAGCTACAAAGTGAGTGCCCCCCAGGCCTGGCCTTGCCCCGGACCCCCTCCCCACCCCCTTCCCTGACCTCCTGCTTGGTTTGTCTTTCTCCTCAGCCCCTGCCCCACTCCTGTGCCCCCTCCCCACCTCACCTGAAGGCCCCCTTGGCTCCCCAGGGCAACATCTGGGAGCAGATCTTCCGCGTGTCCTTCATCCTGGAGATGATCAACACACTGCCCTTCATCATCACGGTGGGTGAGCCGCCGGCTGAGCGGGGGGCTGCTGGGCCCCCAGCCCCCTGACCCATCTCCTCTGCAGATATTCTGGGCCCCACTGCGGAATTTGTTCATCCCCGTGTTTCTCAACTGCTGGCTGGCCAAACACGCCCTGGAAAACATGATCGTAAGCCGGGGGCCAGGCAGCTCCGTACAGGGGGGTGGGCACCCCAGGACCCTGGGCAGCAGCTTGGCCCTGGCCCTGGCCCTGGCCTGGCAGAGAGCTGGCCAGCTTCCCACGCTCCTGGGCAGACACGCACGGTCTGCATTACTAAGATGCCCTCATGTCTCCTTCCCGACCAGCTGGAGCCCCAGCCCTGATGTCCGAGGGGGTCACCATGGGCTGTTCCTGACCCCAGAACCTTGGCTGGGGGAAAGAGCAGGGAGACTTACAAGTGACAGCCAATGGGGCCACGTGACCCAGGGCTACACACAAACTCAGGCCACACAACGAGGACCACGTGACCCAGGGCCACAGGCAGGTCCCCGTGCTGAGGTCTGAGCAAGGCCCATGGCAGCAGGCAGCACCATTTCCTCCCAGGGCGCCACCCCAAGCCTAGGCCCCATTGCTCTCCCTCCCTCCTAACTGTGAAGTGAGGAGACGGTGCTGAGGTCACAGCCTCTGGTCACCCCCCACCCCATGGTGGAAGCCTCTCAGGGTCCTGAGTGAGAGCTGAGGTTGAGTCCACCTGCTGTACCCAGGGGCCGGGCCCTCAACGTCCCTCCATTCTCTCTCGTGTATCTGGGCTCCATCCGGGTCCGGGCTCTGCTGCTGACGGCACCCCCACAGAACGACTTCCACCGCGCCATCCTGCGCACCCAGTCAGCCATGTTCAACCAGGTCCTCATCCTCTTCTGCACCCTGCTGTGCCTGGTCTTCACGGGGTGAGTGTGCTGCCAAGAGGCCCCCGCACACCCAGAGGTCCCACCACGTGGCAGGGCACCCCATTCCCTGGGCAGAGCCAGGTCCTTGTGTCCAGAAGGCCAGGAAGGCCTCCAGGTGGCGGGTGGCAGCCAGGCAGTGACCCAGGACCTCAAGTCAGCTCAGAGCCTATGTTCCCTGGCCAGAGCGTCCCATGTCCAGCTCCTCTGGTGCTGAGAAGCCCCAGGTCTGGCTTCCTGGACGGTCCCTCAGGAGGCAGCTTGGAGGAGGGAACTGGCCTCAAACCCTGGCCAGATGGGGACCCTTTACTTAAGGTCCAGCTGAGAATAAGGTCTGGGAGCAGCCTGGGTGAGAGGTGGGGCCCCTGGAGCTGAGAGCCCCACCCCCACCACAGCCCCACCCCTGCTGAGCAAGGCCCACGCCCCAGGCCTGCTTGTGCCCCAGACTAGGATGCGGGCGGGCACTGGGGCCCAGGAGGGAAGGAGGGTCACGTGTCTCCTTCCTCCCCCCCCAACACACACAGACCTCAACGAGCTGATGGGGTGTCCTCGGGGTAGAAAGCTCCAGGGTGATTCAGCCTGCTCCCTCCCAGCAGACACCGTGTCCATCTGTCATCCCAAGGGGAGGGTCCCACACACCACAGTCCACCATCAGCGCCTTTCAGTCTGGGGACAGGGACATGAGGCCATGGGCATGGGAAGGATTGTCCAGCTCAGCCCCAGCTGGCAGGGGGCTGAGTGTGCCCCATGCCCTGTCTGTCCTCCCAGGTGAGGATGAGGCTCTGAGGTGGGGTGGCACATAGGGGCCCACAGGCTGGGCAGCCATGCCCACCCCCACTGACCACTCCCCCCAGGCCCAGGCTGAACCCACACAGCTCTGTGTCCACACTCCGGGTCAATTTTTTTAGGGGCCTCAAAAGAGCCAGGGGGTGGGAAAGGAAGGTCTGGGGGGATCCGAGGTGCTGGGTGTGCTGGCTCTCACTGGTTGGGGTCTGGAAGCACTGGGAGTCCCAGTCGGTGAGCTGGGCTGAGGGCCAGCTGGGGGCCCATGTCAGTGATGGGGCAACCCTTGGGCTCTGGGTGACGAGGTACAGCAGGCAGGCAGCACTTCGCCTCAGGAGCTCAGGGTATCTGAGGCACCACGCAGCTCCTGTCACCCGGCCCCTAGGACCTGTGGCATCCAGCACCTGGAGCGTGCGGGCGACAACCTGTCACTCCTGACTTCCTTCTACTTCTGCATCGTCACCTTCTCCACCGTGGGCTACGGAGACGTGACCCCCAAGATTTGGCCATCCCAGCTGCTGGTGGTTGTCATGATCTGTGTGGCCCTTGTGGTCCTCCCACTGCAGGTGAGCCCCACCCAGCAGGAGGCGTCCCTCCTCCAGACAGGGGTGTGAAAGCAGAGGAGGGGTGATGCTCACTGGAGGGGCCATGGGGCCAAGATCCCAAGAGGCAGGGAACAACACTACACGGAGTGGTGGTGCCTGCCAGGGGCCCACTGGGGGTCTAGTAAGTAGTGAGGCCTGCGGCCGTCAGGACTGTGGATGAGGACAGCGGATGAGGACAGCGTTCTCAGACGTGGAGAGGTGGTCTCCAGGTGCCGCAGGCCGGCTCTCCCAGGACCTGTGCAGAGTGTGGAGCCGGAAGAGCTGCCAGTCTTCCGCGGGCTGGGTGTCAGGAGTCCTCAGCTGGCGTAGCTGTCAGGACCACATGTCACCTGTCAGCAAGGCCAGTCTGACAGCTGAGTCACACTGCGGGAAAGAGACCCCACCTGTGTTTATGTATGAAAGGTGGAGGCCTGGAGAGGGGGCCAGCCAGCTGCAGACACCCCTGACCCTTCAGAGGGCAGGAAAAGGCCTGGGGAGGGATCAGGACAGATTAGGGGAAGCCAGACCCCAAGGTAGACACTCGGGATGTGGAGGGACAGGGGTGAGGGAGGCACCTAACTGTGGCTATAACAGGGGCCAGTCCACCCAGGGGGTCCTCTGCTGCCCCTGAGCTCAGCCCCCCAGCCCCTGCCCCCACCCCAACCTTGCAGCTCAGAGCCCCTAGCCCCAGCCGACACCCTCTGTTCCCTGCTTCCCTCTGGGCCAGAGAACAGCCCCCCAGCAAGGCCTACTTACTAGCACATTGCCCAGCGCAGATGAGCACTGTGGTGGTAACTGCTGCCATTCATTTTAAACTGTGTTGAATAAATGACCTGAGTGCTTGAGATGGAAACCTGAGAACTTTCATGGGGAGAAACTTCACAGGTCAGACTGCAGCGGGAGGCCCTGGGCGGGTCAGCACCCCGAACAGCTGCCTGGAGCCCTCGCACACCCTCACCTCCAGCTGACTTTTATGTATCTGTCAATGTCCTATTTAAAAAGGGCTCCCAACACCCAAAGTTCACGGCCAGGAAGTGTGGGCCTGAGTGGACGGCACCCCAAACAGCAGCCTTGAATCGGCACACCCTTGGTGTGGGCTCATAACCACAGTGGTGTTCCTTCCACGCTGGGAGTCTGGGTCCCTAATTCTGTGGCCGAGAATTTCCTAAGACACTTCGAGGTTTCTCCACAATGTGTCTCAGGTGCTGATGGAGACCAAAGGCCTCATAGTTATCTGGATGTCCAGACCGCAGACTGGCAGCCACGATGGTCACCTTGGCCCGTAGGGGCTGGGAGCTGGACCAGCGTGTCTCTCACTGTCCTACACACTGGCCAGGACGTCCACTCTGCATCCACCCGTCCCACTGAGTGACCTGTGCTGCAAACACCTAGTCTTCCAAGACATAGTCGGGACGCAGCTCCGTCCTTGCCCCACACCCACCTCCTCCATCCTGCTCTGCTCTCTGCCCTCCCTGCCCTGCACGTGCTCCCAGCCGTCTGTCTGTCCTGCTCTGTGCTGTCGCAGCTCCTGGAGCCCCAGGCCACCTGGCACTCACCTGCTCTTACCTGCAGTTTGAGGAGCTCGTCTACCTGTGGATGGAGCGGCAGAAATCAGGAGGCAACTACAGCCGCCACCGGGCCCAGACGGAGAAGCACGTGATCCTGTGCGTCAGCTCCCTCAAGATCGACCTGCTCATGGACTTCCTGAACGAGTTCTATGCCCATCCCCGGCTGCAGGTGAGGCCGCACCCACGGCCCCACCCCTCCCCAGGATCTTGGTTCCCCTGGCTGTGTGGTGGAGCCCAGGTGGTCTCCCACACTCTGGGGATGGATTTGTGGGGTCCTGCGTTTCCCTCCTGCGAGCTACTCCATCACAGAGAGGGCTGGGGATCTCAAGAAGCAACAGGTGTGAAAACACTAGGAAAGCAGGGTGGGCAGAGGGCGGGGTGAGCTTGCTAGGTGGCTGACCCTGCCCTACCTGCAGGACTATTACGTTGTCATCCTGTGTCCCACTGAGATGGACATCCAGGTTCGCAGGGTCCTGCAGATACCCCTGTGGTCCCAGCGGGTCATCTACCTCCAGGGCTCCGCACTCAAGGACCAAGACCTCATGCGGGCCAAGTGAGTGCCAGCTGGGGGTGAGGGTGTGGTCCTGCGTCACCTGAGCAATAGCCCTGAGCGTGGGCTGGTGGGGATGGGCCATCAGGCGGGCAGCACCTCCAGCTCTATGCCTGCTGCCCGCCCAGGAGAGCCAGGCCCCCCACTGAGCCCGCAGAGCAACCCGGGCAAAGCTCTCCCACCTGCCCAAGGTGCACCAGGTTCTGGGAGAGGCTCAAAGTGGGAGTGAGGGTGGGCTGGTGGGAAGCCAAGGCTGTGGGCGGGTTTTCCCTTAAAGACGAGGTGACAGAGTGAGTTGAGGTGAGAAGACTGAGTTGTGAACAGAACTTTTCAGAATGTGATGCAGCACATTCTGAGACACTGCAGGAGCCCCACACCCCCATCATGACTTTATTCCAGAGCCCGATGCAACCTTCCTGCTGAAATGTGGGCTGCATGGGGGCCGAGGGGGTGGGAGACCAGGCAGCCAAGTCCTCCACCTGCCCAATTCCTGAGCCCTGGACCCCACAGTCTCGCACATAAACTGTGGGCAGGAATCAAGTCCCCAGGCAGGGACATGTTGGGGGTGCAGGGTGATGGGGTGGGAGGCTCCAGGCCTCCCTGCCCTGGGGTGTGAGTGACAATTTCTTAGATGCTCTTTCTGTAGCCAGGGGCTCTGGGAGGTGTGAGGGAAGCAGAACTGGTCATCCCAGACCTCAGGCAGCCTGCCCCAAGACGGGACAGGCCAGCAGGCGGGGTCCAGCATCTCTGCTCTGCCACCAAGTGTGTCCTCCGTTCTGTGCCCCGGCCCTATCCCCAGTTAGCCGGGGCCCATCCTCAGCCCATACAGGGCTGGTGAGAGTGAGATGGGGTCTTGACAAGGTCCACCCCTTCCCCTGATGGCCAAGACAGGAACACAGACAGTCCTGAGGGTGCTCAGACCTGGTGCTTTGCAGGATGGACAACGGGGAGGCCTGCTTTATCCTCAGCAGCCGGAACGAGGTGGATCGCACAGCAGCGGTGAGCACCCCCGACACACCGCCCACCTGCCCACAGGCTGGGGGGCGCCTGCACTAACTGCCGCCCCCCCCGCCCCCAGGACCACCAGACCATCCTGCGCGCCTGGGCCGTGAAGGACTTTGCCCCCAACTGCCCCCTGTACGTCCAGATCCTCAAGCCCGAGAACAAGTTTCACGTCAAGTTTGCAGGTACATTTGGCCAGGATAGGGAAGAGGGTGCTGGGGTGGAGGGGTGGCAGAGCTCATGCAAGCTGTACACCTGGGGGCCCGGGGGTCAGTGAGGGCAGGAGCCCTGTCTGACAAGCACCGTTATGGGCACCTGGGGGACAGGTGAGCGCCCTGGGTGGGCTGAGCAGAGGAGGGGTTCTGGGAGGGCCCCTGGCAAGGGGGCGGCTGCCGTTGGGGCAGGGAGGCCTGCGCGGTGACCTGCCCTCCTCCCGAAGACCACGTGGTGTGTGAGGAGGAATGCAAGTACGCCATGCTGGCACTAAACTGCATCTGCCCGGCCACGTCCACCCTCATCACGCTGCTGGTGCACACATCCCGCGGCCAGTGAGTGCCCCCTCCCTGTGACCGCCACCCAGCTGTGCAGCGCCCACAGGGCACCCCAGGGAGACAAGGCAGGGCCTCTAGGGGCACGGGAGGGGTGTGGGGCTGCGGAGATGGGGGAATGCCCCAGAGGGCAACCACGGGAGGACTCAGCTGAGGATGTCGGGCTCATGTGGGAAGCAGTAGGCAGCTCTCCAAGGGAGGGGTTGGAGCTGAGGGGCAGCCAGGGGGCTGCTGGGAATTGCAAGCAGCGTGCGCCGTGGAGCAGAGGGCAGGGTGGGTGCCGGGGAGAGCCCTGAGTTTCAGGCACAGTGACGGGGGCTAGTGCATCTTGGTTTAAGGGAGAGTGTGTGCTTGGTTCTCAGCACCTGGGCTGCCCTGGGACAGAGGAGGGGCATTATCTTCTTCCTGGGAAGACCAGGTTGGGGCTGGCACCCCCTCCCCCAGACACTGGGCCTCCGCTGGCTCCCTGTGGGGCCTGGGTGGCCCCAGGGGAGGGATCAAGCAGGGGAGGAGGACCCACAGGCCACAGAGGCTGGTCTTGACCCTAAAACATTCTGACACCCCCTAAAATCAGACCATTGTGTTTACAGATTTTGAAAAATGGCCAAGTGACCCATGAGGTCACCCATGTCTAGTCTCAGCCAGATAAGAAGGGGTCAGGGGCCAAGCTGGCTTCCACCCATGCTATCAGAAGCCAAACTAGGAGGGCACCGGCATCCCGGCCAGGCTAGAGAGTGGGGGACAGGGGGCAGCCGTGGAGGTGACCTCCCACCCGCCCCCCACCCAGAGAAGGCCAGGAGTCACCGGAGCAGTGGCAGCGCATGTACGGCCGCTGCTCAGGCAACGAGGTCTACCACATACGCATGGGGGACAGCAAGTTCTTCCGCGAGTACCAGGGCAAGAGCTTCACCTACGCTGCCTTCCACGCCCACAAGAAGTACGGGCCCCACCCCGGCCCCCTAGACCTGGGCCAGGGCAGGGCAGGGCAGGGGAGTGCTGGGCGGGGCTCTGGAGGCTAGAATGGGCGGGCCATGCCCGGTGGGCACGTGGGGACCCGGGGGTTGGACATCACATCCACACCAGCACCAGACCCGCCACGGGGCATCTCCCCTCCGAGGCTAGGACCTGGCTGGGTCTTGGGTCGAGTGGGAAGGGGTCCCGATGCCCAGGCGGGTGCCAGGAGGAGTAGCTCTGGGCCCCACTGAGCCCCCGCCCGCCTGCCCGCCCAGGTATGGCGTGTGCCTCATTGGCCTGAAGCGGGAGGAGAACAAGAGCATCCTGCTGAACCCGGGGCCGCGGCACATCCTGGCCGCCTCCGACACCTGCTTCTACATCAACATCACCAAGGAGGAGAACTCTGCTTTCATCTTCAAGCAGGAGGAAAAGCAGAAGAAGAAGGGCTTCTCGGGGCCGGGGCTGTACCACGGGCCGCCCCACCTGCCCGTGCGCAGCGTCCTCGCCTCCATGGGTGAGGCGGGGCGGGGCGGGGCGGGTAGGCCAGGGCCCGCCCCCTCCTCCCTGCCTGCGCTGTAGCCGTGGGGAGTCCCGTGTCTGGGCCTGTTTTTGCTTCTGGCCAGAGGGCTATCCCTGCCTTCCTGTGGGGACTGTTGTCGGCATCGGTGTCCGAGTGCCTGTGGGGTGAGACCACCCTGCATCATGGGAGCCTCTGTCCACCTCCGCTCTGGGAACACCTGCCCGCAGGAGGTCTGGGAGGGGCTGTCAGCCAAGTTCAGCCTCTCTGTTCCAGGGACCGTGGCCATGGACCTCCAAAGCACGGAGTGCCGGCCTGCACAGAGCAGCGGGGGCGGCGAGGGCAGCAAGCTGGCACTCCCGACGGAGAACGGCTCCGGCAGCCGGCGGCCCAGCATCGCGCCTGTCCTGGAGCTGGCCGACAGCTCCGCCCTGCTGCCCTGCGACCTGCTGAGTGACCAGTCAGAGGATGAGATGACGCCGTCGGACGACGAGGGGCTGTCTGTGGTGGAGTGAGTGCCACCTGGGGGATGAGAGCTGGCACCCTGAAAGAGGCAGGGTCACTGGCGAAGGTCCTGGGGGATCCCCTCCATGCTCTCAATCCCAGCTTCCAAACAGCTTCCCCCAGAGACCTTGTTTGTACAGGGAATCTTCTGAGGACATAACAGGTGGACAGGAAAGTGTACCTGCCCTCACCCCTCATCCTCCCCGCCTCGCGCCCTGGGTGGCCACACCTCAGTCCCGTGGCCTGCTTGGCAGGGGTGGCTATCCTCTGAGCATAGACTGCAGACGTCACCTCTAGGGGAGCCCTGGTCGAGGAGCTGTCCAGGCCTGGAGGCCACTGGCACACCCTGAGCTGTCATCCCAGGGTTTGGGGCCAGGTCTTCCTCTAGATTATGAGATGGGAGAGACCCCCACTCTGACCTCAGCAACTCTTAGCCACTTGGCCTCAGCCAGAACAGGCAGCTCCTGACCACAGGGCCATGGCCAGCCACCATCCCATTTCTCCCAGCTGGGCCGTCACTGCATACTCTCTGCTCCTGCCCTTGCCTCTGGGTAGGGGAGACGTGCTTTAAGGGTAGAGCGCCTGCCAGGGATGGGCTCTGAGAGGGAGGGGGCCGGCAGGGCTCTGACACACCTGGGGCAGAGGAAGGGCTAGCCTCTGATGCCACGTCCCTGAAGCCAAGTGGAGGCAAAGCAGGAGGCCAGCCCCTCCCCAGGCTGCTTGGGGGGCTCGACCATGGCAGGGTGACCACCCCAGCTGCTGCCTGCTGGGGACGGCAGGGGGATCCGCCTGGCTGTGGGAGCAAGTAGAGAAGGGCCAAGGGCCAGCACTGGCCTAGTCACTGGGACGCTGGGGGCACAGGGGGTCGGGGTGAGGGGCCGTCAGAGCCCCTTACGGTTTTGCTGCGGTCTCCAGGCCTGTGTAAGCTCGTGCAGGTGTGCGTGTGCATGTTCTGTGTGTTTGTGTGTGTTTCGTGGAATCTCCCCCAGACCCCCAGGGAATAGACGGTGGTCCCGGTACAGCCCTCCTTCCTGCCCCACCCTGGAATGGCCAAGGCTGACTGTGGGGGTCCTGGGGCTTCCTGGGGGCAGGGAGCAGCAGCAGGGGCCCCTTCACACACGGGAGGTGGAACAGGTCTGTGGGGTCTGGCGCCCCCAAGTGGCCACCTGTGCTGAGACTTCCGTCTCCCCACACCCTCCCCTCCCCTCCAGGTACGTGAAGGGCTACCCCCCCAACTCGCCCTACATCGGCAGCTCCCCCACCCTGTGCCACCTTCTGCCTGTGAAGGCCCCCTTCTGCTGCCTGCGACTGGACAAGGTAGGTTGCAGCAAACATCAGGGAAGCTGCAGGGCCACTCTGAGGACATCCTGGGCCTGATCCCAAGTCCACGACTTGCCCCTTGGCTCCTTGCCTCCCTGGACAGCTGTTCTGTCATAGGGACATCCTTTCTCACGTTTCCCTCCTGTGTTCGCATGCATCTCCTGAAGCCAGGGCAGCCCTCCGGTAACCACAGTCCACACACCAAGGCCAGGACACGATATCAGACCTGCAGCCCACACTCAAGTGCCCTGTTGTCCCAGGAGCCCTCACTACCCTTTGTGGCCGGAGCCAGTCCCAACGCCATGCTGCATCTGGCTGTTGCGACTGCCTCTCTCCATCCTTAATGCTCCTCGTCCCAACCTGGTCCTCAGGGTCTCTGGGCCTCGGCATCTGGGGATCCCAGCCATCAGTTCAGTGGAGTGTCCCCGGAGGGGCACCTGGGCCTGTATGTGTGTTCAGGGCCGGGTCCCTCCTAGGGGCCCCTGTGATGCCGCCTTAGGTCACGTGGTTCGGGCGACTCCCCTGGGTCCCTCCGCTGGAGAAATGGGTTTTGCCTTTGCAGTCAGGACGTCATTTGTAGGGAGACATTTGGGGGCCAGGTACATAAGCCGCTCTTCACCGAGCTTCCCCCATGCGTTTCAGCCACATCCGATGGTTTGCTGATTGCATTCCCTTCCATATTTGTGTCAGCTTTCCACAGCAAGGATGTGCCTCCCCTTTTCCTAGATGCGTGTTCTTAGCCGTTTACGTACATCAGTGTGGATCTGCTGTTTTATGCAGAGGGTTGCTCATTACGGCAGGATCACTGCAGTGCCGTCATTTGCTACAAATCATGCTGGGTTTGATGCGCAGACTTTCCTAGTTTTGCTGGCGGGGCCTTCGGTCGAGCTGGCTTCTGGGTCCTTCTGACATGTCCGCGTTGTCCTTTGAGTACTTGCATGCCTTTGAATCCCCGGAGTCCCCGCCCTGTCTTGTACTTGCCCAGCCCTAGTCCTGGAACCTACCACTTCTCCAAGAATCCTGACTCCTTTTAGTGGAAACGATGTTTAAAAATGACACCTGGGTCCTGGGTGTGTGCACTGCAGCTGTGCGTCTGGGCCTCTCCATGCAGAGCTGGAAAGTGTGAACACACACGCACCCAGGACAGAACGTGTGTACAGACACGCACACACGAGACCTCTGTCCATTTCTGCATCTGCTGAGACCACGTGCCTGCACAGACACCTCCCTTCCCTCCCGGACGCGAGCTCCCCCGCAGCGGCCCCAGCTCTCTCTGGCGGGCTGGTGGCCTGTGGCCGCGGTGGGCCTGGGTGGCTGAAGACCCCGTCCCTCTCCTGCCCCTCCCTCACAGCAGTGGCTGACTTGACGTCTTCCCCCAGGGCTGCAAGCACAACAGCTACGAAGACGCCAAGGCCTATGGCTTCAAGAACAAGCTGATCATCGTCTCGGCGGAGACAGCGGGCAACGGACTGTACAACTTCATCGTGCCACTCCGGGCCTACTACCGGCCCCGCAGGGAGCTCAACCCCATCGTGCTGCTGCTGGACAACAAGTGAGGCCAGCTGGGCTGGGGGGCTGGGGGGGAGGCCGGCGGGGCCTGGGGTGCGGGTGGGCCCCTGGCCCTTTCCCACGCCCTCGGGCCCTCAGGGATGCTGCATCGTCCTCCCTCAGGGTCTCCCTGACCCAGCTGGGGCCCCACAACCATGAGCCCCTGGGCACCTACCCAGCACCACTACCCCCAGTCCTGGCAGCCTGGAGCCCAGAGTCCAGCCTTGGCCGTCCTGCCCCCTGGGGCCTTGGTTTCCCCTGGGATGAAAAAGATACTCCCCATTGGCCTCTCATCCAGGTCAGGGCCGGGCTGGACATGGGTGGCGGGAGCGGGTCAGGTGGGTGGCTCCAGGACCAGCTGTCCCCACAGGCCCGACCACCACTTCCTGGAGGCCATCTGCTGCTTCCCCATGGTCTACTATATGGAGGGCTCTGTGGACAAGTAAGGCGCTGGGCCCAGGGCGGTGGGCCACTCCCATTCTGAGGGAAGACCCCTGCTCTCCCCGCTACCTCTGGGCGGTGGCTGGACCAGGCACCCAAAGGGAGCCTCCCTGCAGCCTGGACAGCCTGCTGCAGTGTGGCATCATCTACGCCGACAACCTGGTAGTGGTGGACAAGGAGAGCACCATGAGCGCCGAGGAGGACTACATGGCCGACGCCAAGACCATCGTCAACGTGCAGACCATGTTCCGGTGGGCGCCGCGGGCTCCTATGCAGAGCAGATGCACCGAGCCCCCCCACCCACCATGACCAGGGACCCTCCCTGAGCATCCCCACCAAGTCTGTGACCAAGGGACCCTCCCTGAGCCCCTCCACCAAGTCTGTGACCAGGGACCCTGAGCCCTCCCCATGTCTGTGACCAGGGACCCTGAGCCCCCTCCCTGTCGTGACCAGGGACCCTCCCCCTACCCAGGCTCTTCCCCAGCCTCAGCATCACCACAGAACTCACCCACCCGTCCAACATGCGCTTCATGCAGTTCCGCGCCAAGGACAGCTACTCTCTGGCTCTTTCCAAACTGGAAAAGGTGAGTGGCCCCCTGGCCGACCTCCCCTGCCCGACCTGTGGAGCTGATGGGGTTCAGAGCCTGTACCAGAGCCTGGAGGGAGTGAATGAAGGGGCTGAGGGGCCCTGGGGAGTGGGGGCCACGGGAGGCCTGGGTGCCTGCCCTCCTCCAGCCAGAGGGCTTCAGAGATGGGGGCTCAGATGTAGCCAAGAGACGGTGCGGTCATTGTCCAGGAGCAGCAGCATCCCCTAAGGCAGGGTCCAGGCCTGGCCACGTGGGGGGCCGAGGCTGCCTGTCAAGTCAGAAACTTCTAACCCAGGTGACACCACCCTCAAACCTGAACCGTGTCCATTCTGTGAACTGCCCAGAAGGGATGTGCCCGTCCCAGCACAGACGAGGGACTGGGAATCAGAGAGGGGAGCAATGTGCCTTAGGTCACACAGCGGAGCAGTGGCAGAGCTGGAATCAGTTTTCTGCCCCTGGGGGCCCCATGAGGCACATCAGCCAGGAACAGGTGTGGAGCCCAGGGCACAGAGACACCTTCAGGGACACCAGCAGTGCTGCCAGAGTGCCCTCAGCTCCCTGCTGACAGTTGCCCAGACGTCTGTCGGTCCCGCCATCTGTGCTTGCAGCAAGGGAGCTGCAGGGCAGGAAGCAGCGCCAGCGAGAAGGGCCACCAGCGGGCTCCTGGGTGGCCTGGGCGTCTCGCCTTCTTTCTGTCTGAATTGCACTCTGGTCCAGCGGGAAGGGTGGCCTCTTGGGCTCTGAGCCCACCCCTCCATGGTAGGCCTGCCTCATGCAGGGGGGGCAGCAGCTCCAAGATGTCCAAGTCCCAACCCCAGAACCTGCACAGAGTATGGGACACAAACAACTCAGTTAAGGATTCTGAGGTGGGGGATGACCCTGGACACCCGGGGGGGCCCACGCCATCACCCAGGCCCTTGTAAGATGGAGGCCAGAGGTCAGAGTCACAGAGGGGACAGTGCTGCACTGCCGGCCGTGAAGATGGAGGAGGGGGCCGCAAGCAGAGGGACATCCGCTTCCAGAAACCAGGGAAGGTGGAGAAGAGATTCCCCTCGAGGGCCGCCTGAGGGACGCGGTCTTGATTCCAAGCCTGAAATCCACTTGGACCTGCCACTTCCAGACCGTGAGCGCAAATGTGTGAAGTTTTAAGCTGTTGGGTTTTCGGTAACTTGTTCCAGCAGCCGAAGCAGGAATCACACATGGGGGGCCTTCAGAATCTGGGCTGTGGAGCCTCGTGATTGCTGTGTACGCAGGGAGGCAGGAACCACGAGACGCACGTCTCTGCCTGTGCACCCCACCTTCCCCGATTTCACTTACAGAACACGAATTCCAGGGTCAAATTACTAAGGGTGTTAGGAGTGCCAGAGCAGCAACAGTAGGGCATTAAACCAAGCACGGCCCCTATTTCTTCCCATCAGAGCCCCGAACCCTTACTCCTGACTCTGGCCCCTGAGTGTCTGGGGGGACACGTAGCTGGGCACTTAGCCTGTGGTCAGCTATCTGCTGGTGCTTGCACTCACGCACACAAGTGCGCGTGCATACGCTCACCCCGAGTGCGCGCACGCACTGCACACGTGCACGTGCGCAGACGCCCCGCGGCCATGGGCACCAGCCAGCCTGAGCCCCTGTCCTGCAGAGGGAGCGGGAGAATGGCTCCAACCTGGCCTTCATGTTCCGCCTGCCGTTCGCCGCCGGCCGCGTCTTCAGCATCAGCATGCTGGACACATTACTGTATCAGGTCAGCGGGAGGCAGGCAGGGAGGCGCCCGCGGTGCCGGGCCGGGGCCCAGCCACTCTTGGTCTCTGGCCGATGTCCAGTCCAAGTTCTGAGCGCCCACCCCTGGGCCCCGGGAGCAGCAGGGGCTCACCTCTAAACGTCCCCCGTCCTCTTTCTCCCAGAAGGTGCTGCGCTGGGGTCGCCTCCCAGCAGCCTTCGGTTTCTGATCCCTTTTGACCAAGTGAATCACCATGGCCAGGGAAGGCTGCCCAGCTCTATCTGCTGGGCACGCTGTGCTAGGGGGCCCAGCAAGCAGGTGGCATGGGAGGCTGGGGTCGTGTCCGGGGAACCAGTGGAGCCCTGGGATTTGGGGGCGGTCTGGGCCCCCATCCCGGCCTCACCGCCACCCCTCTTTCCAGTCGTTTGTGAAAGACTACATGATCCCCATCACCAGGCTGCTGCTGGGCCTGGACACCACGCCGGGCTCCGGCTACCTCTGTGCCGTAAGTGCCTTGGACCTGCCAGGCGGGCGGCAGGCTGTGCCCGACGGGGAGCCCAGGGGAGGGAGGCCAGCCCAGCTCAGGGCTCCTCCGCGTTCCAGATGAAGATCACCGAGGATGACCTGTGGATCCGCACCTACGGCCGCCTCTTCCAGAAGCTGTGCTCCTCCAGCGCCGAGATCCCCATCGGTATCTACAGGACCCAGTGCCACGTCTTCTCCACCTCAGAGGTTTGCAGGGAGGGGGCTCCCACTGGGGCAGCCCCCTCTTTCTAGCTTTGGGGATCTGGGCCTTTGCTGTCAGGTCCTGTCACGGTCAGGTCCACGTGCGGCACCCTTTGGGTGGCTGTGACCCCCAGTGGGGCAGGGGAGGCTCCAGAGCACCGAGGGGCCCCAGACTACCAGCTAGAACCACGGAAATCGGCCTGCCCACTGTCCTGAGCCCACGAGGGCTTGGGCAGCATTGGGGGCTGGGGACAGAAGCACCCACAGGTACCCAGGCTGCCCTGGTTTCCTTTGCAGCCCCACGACCTCAGGGCCCAGGTGAGTGGCCCCTTTGAGCCCACGTGGGTTCACTTAACTCACAAGAGTCTTGCCTGAGCCCACACTCACCCCAGGCCTGGGAGGGGGTGAGGGAACAGGTCCCCAGGATGTGCTGGCCGAGGTGCAGCTCAGAGGCCTTGCAGCCTCACCCCCACCCCCGCCACGTACAGGTGGGGACGAGGCCCGATGGGAAGACCAAGCTCCCCCCACCACGTGCCACCTGCACCTCAGGCCACGGCCCCTATCTTGGCGGGTGCACCTTCCTCCCCACTGTCTGTCCCAACCTCCATGCCCCCAGGCCCCCACATCACCCCCAGAGCCCCACACCCTCACCGAGCCACCCAAGGCCCTGGTGCTTCCCAGCCCACCAAGCACCCGCCCCAGCTCTCCCCACCCACTCCCTTGCCAAGATGAGACAACTGAGTGGCACAGAGGAGGTGGCCCTCTTGTGGCAAAGTCAGGACATGCATGGCCCAGAGGCTGAGGGAGGTGCCCTCTCTCACCAGCAAATCAGGGACAGACCTGGAACCAGGGCTACTGAGTGGACAGTTTGGGGCTCAGGAGAAAGGCTCTGGCCTGGCACCCCCTCCCCAGCTGGAGAGGAAGGCACTCACGCCCTTGGGCTGGGGACCCTCCGGGGGCTGTGGCTGTCCTCCTCACACCCCTTCCGTGGGTCCCGTCCCATGCTCTGTCCAGCACTCCTCCCCGCCCCGCTCCCTCCCCTTCCATCTCTGCCCCGGCCCTCCCCTGGCCCTCACTCCTCCTCCCTGCCAGTCCCAGGTCTCTGTGAGCGTGGAGGACTGCGAGGACACGCGGGAAGTGAAGGGGCCCTGGGGCTCGCGGGTGGGCGGCAGCGGCGGCAGCGCCCACGGACGGCAGACAGCAGGCAGCGACCCGGCTGAGCACCCGCTCCTGCGGCGCAAGAGCCTGCCGTGGGCACGGAGACTGAGCCGCAAGGGCCCCCGGCACTCGGGGAAGGCGGCAGCCGAGTGGATCAGCCAGCAGCGGCTCAGCCTGTACCAGCGCTCCGAGCGGCAGGAGCTCTCCGAGCTGGTTAAAAACCGCATGAAGCACCTGGGGCTGCCCACCACTGGCTATGGTAAGGCCGCCCCGCCTGCTGGCCTGGCCCAGCCCACGGGGTGCCCACCCCATGTCTGTCGGCGCTCCGCTGCTGGGGCGGGTGCAGGAGCCCCGAGAGGAAAGGGCTCACCTCCTCTGCTCTGCAGATACGGGCGCAGAGCTGGCCGAGCCGGCACACAGCAGCCCCCGAGGAGGCCACCGTGGGGCTCCCCAAAAGCCAAGGGCACAAGCCTTGGTGGGGACTGATGAGCCACTCCTGGCCAGTCCTGCTGGGATCGGGGTGCAGGGGCCCTGCAACAGGAACAGGAGACCCCAGAGACCCAGGCCCCCTCCCCTTCCCCTCCCAGCAGCCAGAGGTCGGGTGGGGGCAGGTCAGGGGCAGCTGGTCGAATGGCCCAGCACCAAGACACGCTTCCTGGCTGCCCCTGGGGCATGGCCACCCTGTTCCTGCTACCCCAGGGCAGGGCCACCCAGGCATTCGTAATTGGCAGATTCACCCTGTAGCTCATTTTGGGAAAAGCTGGTGACTTTGACCATGAACAGACCTGGGGTGCCCTGGCTGGGCCAGAGGAGAGACGTTCACCTCCTCCTTCACTCCAGAGATGCTGCCTCTGTTGATGGGGCCAAGAGGCCACACTCCCACTGCTGGCCGGCCTTGTCCACGCCCTGGGCTGGGTGGAGGCTCTGGCCTCCTTTGGGTTCCATCTCGGGGACTCTGCCCACCGCCCAGGCCTGGCTCTGTCCCCCAGAGGCGCCCAGCCTCCCCACCTTTCCTTCTGGGTCAGGGGCCTGTGAGCCCCCTCCCAATGGGACCAGGCAGCTCAGGCTTCACCCAGAAGCTGCCAAAGGGTCACTCCAGCCAGGCTGTCTGCTGGCTGTGCACAGCTGGCCCCGAGGGGGACAGGTGGCCCACGAGAGCCGCCCCAGCCCCTCCCCGCCACACAATTTACCTTTGTCCCCTCTCAATGACTCTTCCCTAGGTGGGTGCTGTCACCCCTTCTGGGTAGAACACTGACCACTGAGGTTCCAAGTGGGGTTCCCAGTGTTCACGGCCCCAGGTTGCATGCTGGCAGACTGAGACTCCAGCCGGGCTGACCCCTAGGGCAGGGACCCTCCTCCGCAGCCTTCCCCTCAGCTGCTGAGACCCCCGCCAGCCCCCACCCGAGCTTGGTAGCTCACTTCTGTCAGGAACAGACAGGCCTCTCAGCTGGCGGTCGCTGGTCCCATGTGCAGCTGGCTGCCCCCACCCTGCTGTGCCGGCTGCCACCTCCGCACTGCTTGCTGACCTCTCTCTCTCTGTTTCTGTCTGTCCTTCTTTTTGTGTGTTCCGTAGAGGATGTAGCAAATTTAACAGCCAGTGATGTCATGAATCGGGTAAACCTGGGATATTTGCAAGGTAATTCTGCTCCGGCGGCCGGAGTCTGGCCTAGAGGGCTTGCCAGCCCTATGCTGACAGTCAGCCTGGTGGCCGCCTGCCCTAGCCATGGAGGCAGATAGGACAAGGCACGAGAGAGGGTCCCGCAGGCAGGAAGTCACGTGCTCCCAGGCCGCCCCACTGTAGGGACCTTGACCTCCCCTCTGGGCCTGTTGCCAACGGGACGGACCCCAGGGGGCCTGTGGTTTGTGCCGGCGCCCGGACTGCGGAGCTCACCCCAGTACCCCAGTCTCCTTACCCCGACTGTCGTCTAAGCCCTGACCTGACCACACAGGCAGGCGTCTGCCTGCAGCCAGGCCCTGGGGATGCCCGAGGACCCTAAGCCCACCCAGCTCTCGGAAAGCACCCAGATGGCTCCAGCCCAGGGTGCCCACGCCCCTGCACGGTGGGGTGTGGTGAGGCCTGGGCTGGCACCTGGGGCCTTGGGGTCTGCTCCACCCTGAGACGTCGAGGGCCCCCTAAGCCAGGTAGACTGCTGATGTCCATGCCCCGCCTGGGGCTTCAAGAAGGGTAGTCCCTCTTCAGTTAAAGCAGAGTCTGTCTGCACCCCATTTCTCATAGTCTAGGGGCTCAGGTGCTGCCTGGACCCCGTTTTTTCCAAGAAGACACCCTGTAGACCCCAGACCTGCCCCAAGACCCCAGCAGAGGTCAGAGCAGAGCCTGGGCCACAGGCCCCACTGCTGGGACCCTCTCCTGCCCCAGGGGGAGCTCGGAGCCACATGCCCAGGTCCCTGGGGTTGGGGTGAGCCCAGAGCTGCCCTGAGTCCAGGGCGGCGTTAGCTCAGGTGGGCCTGTTTCTGGCGATGGCCTGGAGACGTCTAGGGGCAGGCCCAGGAGTGAGCTCTGTGCTTCACTTCACGGACGGGGGTGCTGCCGGGAGCCGGCCTGCTTGCCCTGCGCGCCTCCTCACCCCGCGCCCCATGACTCCGCTCATGAAGACCCACCAGGCCAGCACGGGTCCGAGCCTGGGGCTTCTATGAATGGATGGCTGTAGCCCCCTTCCCACACCTGGCTGCACCCCTGCTTCTTGCCATGGCTCCTGGGCAGGGACGGCCTCCCCTACGGGGTCACCAGGACTCACTGGGTGGTGTTTACTGAGCACCCCTGCCACCACCACGTGGACACCAAGAGGTGCCTGGGCCAGGGCCTAAAACCAGAGGGGGAGGCTAACAGGTGTCCGGTGGGGCACCACCCACGAGGGCCCCCAGCTGCATGCAGATGAGGGAGGAAACACCACCAGCCCCAACACACAGACACAGCCCCTCCCTCACAGCCACCCTGGGGGGCACTACAGTACCCTCAATTCATGGAGGAGGAGAGCAAGGCTGGGGTCGGGGCAGGGGCTCCAGAGGAGTGAAGTGGACGCCAGAGCTGGGCGGGAGCCTGTGTGCAAGTGCCCAGAGCACAGCGGTCATGGTGAAGCCCACCCATCCCAGGGAATCAGGGTCCGTGCCTCATGACTGACCACGCTCAGCCTGGCCCTGTGTTCCCCGCCCCCGGCTCTCAGCCCTGTGCCCTAGAAGCACAAAGCTGGCCTCACTTGGGCCAGCCACAGGCCCATCAGTCCCAGAAACGCCCATGGTCCGTCCACCCCGGGGGAGGAGCAGTCTAGGCCAGGTTGGGAGGGCCAGCAAGGCAGGCGTGGCTCTCGCCCTTGCCCAGCAGAGGGGCCCAGACATGCCCTTTCCTTTTTCACTTGTTCTGACTACGCGCCTGTCACCAAGTGGCTGCCCAGCTTATGGCTGTGCTCAGGGTTGCGGGGTCCCCAGGGGCCTTCAGAAGCTGCCTCCCTCTCCCACCTGCGTCCTGCTGCTGCCGGCTCCACACTGCCCACCCCGGAAATGCTTAGCCTCCAGCAGGAGCCACCCCCTCAGAACACACAGCTGCTGTCAAAGGGCCCCAGCCCCGGCCCTGGCCATCAGGCAGGGTGACTCACCTGTGTGGTGGGGGGGCCGAGTAGGCAGGCGTCCCATCCCTGGGTACAGACATGAAGGCTGGCACAGATGACCATCAGAGTCTCCACGTATCTGTTGGCCCCCCAAGTCCCAGCCCATGCCCCTGCCTGCTCCCCTGGAAGCACGCTGTGCTCCACCTGCCCCTGAGGGGACCCTGAATCCACCACCAGATTCGGCTCTGAACTCAGCAGTTCAGAGAAGCAAGACCCAGACAAGCCAACAGCAGCCGCTCCCGCCCCCCGGAGAACTCCATCCCTCAGTGGCTGCGGCCAGTGTGGGAGGGGCGGCGCAGAGGCCACCCAGGGCTGGAGCCCTCTGGAGGGCGGCCTCTTGAGGCCCAGTCCTGGGTCAGGAGGTGCCTTTAGACATCACCAGATGATAAATTAAGGCCGCAAGCTTTAATTCAGGGTCACTGCTGAATGGTGGCCAGCAAGACACCTGGGAGGTGACCAGAGTTTCTCCTGAACCCATTTGCACCCCTGTGGGTCACACCCCATGAGCCAGATGCCAGGCTATCCCCAGGACAGGCAGCAGCCCGGGCTCCGAGTGCACCCAAGGGCCCCCTCCAGGAGGGTAAGCTGGTAGACTCTCTGGGCTGGGCCACAGAACAGGTTTCAGGAAATGGAGGACAAGTCCAGAGTGGAAGGCTGAGGAGGGACGGGGGTGGCCTGTGTGGGGCAGAGACGAGCCTGAGGGCTGGGCCAGGGGTGTGTGCAGGTGATGGGGGTGTGTGGTGGTGCCAGTGTGTGCATACGTGTAGGTGTGGGCGGGTGTGGGCAGCTGTGCTGGATGCCTCTGCTCAGGTCCACCACGTCTTGAGGTGCTGGTGACTCAGCTGAGCAAGCTGCCTAGGTGGGGGGTGGGTGAGAACTGGTGCCCCCGCCCCTCATGGCTGACCCAACCTGTGCAGGGTCGGGGTGTGGCAGCTGTCTGCCAGGGAGGGCAGCCCCAGCTGGGTTCAACAGGACCAGGGCTCAGGCAGGATGGCTGGAGAGGCCGGGAGGAAGCTGCCGCCGCTGCTCCAAGCCCCACAGAGTGGAGGTGGGCAGGGGCAGAGTGGTGACCACCCGCCGGGGCCCTGTCTCCTCTGCAGACGAGATGAATGACCACCAGAACACCCTCTCCTACGTCCTCATCAACCCCCCGCCTGACACGAGGCTGGAGCCCAACGACATCGTGTAAGTACCTTGTACCCGAGAAAGTGTGGACAGCTGCCTGTCCGCCACCTGTGTGATGGCCCTGCGCACCCACGCCTCCTGCCCTCCCCGCAGGTATCTCATCCGCTCCGACCCCCTGGCCCACGTGGCCAGCGGCGCCAAGAGCCGGAAGAGCAGCTGTAGCAACAGGCTGGCCTCCTGCAACCCGGAGACGCGGGATGAGACGCAGCTTTGAGCTGCCCAGAGCCCCTCCGCCACCCTGTCCCCTCCCGACTCTGCAAGCCGCGTGATGCATGAGCCTGCAAGGGCCTGTCACTTGGCCCAGCTAACCGGCCAGAGCTGCCCCGGGACTGGCCGGGGGGAGCAGACTTCACCTAGGTGGGGGCGAGGCTGCCCCGGGCACCATAAGAAGCTGGCAGAAGTCTTTTTTAACCTGTTTTTACAGATCCATACAACTCACATGTCTACACAAACGCACCGCAACTCGTGACTGGGTCTGACTGAGGTGACAGGCGGGGAGCCTGGCTGGATCCTGGATGCAGGGCGGGCAGGAGCCTGGGCCGAGCCCGGGCCCCACACTGGGCTCATATGGAGCACACCCCAGACCAGGAGAGCCACGCCCACCTCAACCCGCCCGTGTTCATGGCCACGCACCCGGGTCAGTTCGTGGGCCTGCCCTCGGCTCTAGGCCAGGCTGCAGGTGGTGGGCCGCTCTCCCCGGCCCTGTGGGTCCCAGCTCGTCTCAGCTGTGAGGACTGACCCGGAGTCAGGCCACACGGGGCTCCAGAACCAGGCACAGGTGAGCAAGGGAGCCCCTTCCAGAAGGAGACGGAAAGCAAGGGGGTCTCCATCTTGGCCAAGCCCCTGGCTGAGGCTGGGCGGGCTCTGGATATATGAGGGGGGAGGTGGGGCTGCCTGAGACCCCCAGAGGGGCCCGCAGACCATGACTCTGTGGAAGAGAATCAGACAACGTCCTTTTCCTGTCTCTACGTGGAACTTGCGCAGCCGCGCCATCTGACACCCTTTTAACACCAGACCCGAAGCACAACTCAGCCCCCCAGGGCTGCTGGCCCGTATCTCCTGGGTAGAGGTTTCTCACTGAAGAAAGGGCTCTGGTTGCCACCACGGTTCCTTTGTGACTGTTTGACGGGTTTTGCACGGTCAGTGCTGGAAACTTCTATTAAATGGATGCATTCTGCAGACACGAGGATCCTTGTAAGGCAAACCCCGTGGCCCCCCGCTCCGGCCTGTGTAGGCCCCTCCCAGGCGCCCAATTTCAAGGGTTAGGAACACCTGCTCTGGTCCCCAACCCACCTGGACCCCACAGGGAAGACCCCAACCCCAAGGAAATGCTGGTGGCCTGGGTCCTCCCCAAAAAGTGGGAAGCAAGTCAGGTGATGGGGAGGGGGGTCCCAGTGTCCAGGAGGACTCCCTGGTGAGCTGCCCAGTCCTGGAGCCTGGCTGAGTCCTAGTGAGGGTGACAGAGACCCAGGCTCTGTCCAGCTGTGGCACTTGTGCACAACCCCCGAGGCCCACAGCTGGGCACCTCGCCAGCACAAAGGCACCTGTTTGGGGTGGGAGCTCTTGCTCAGAGAACCCCAAGAGACTGGCAGGCGAAGGACCCACACAGCCCCCAGGGTGGGACATGACCCAGTGCCAGCCTCTTCTTCCTGTGCCCTGGCCACAGGGCCAGCTCTCACCCCACACTGCCCTCCTGGGACCCTCCTGCCCAGAAAGTGTCTGGAAGCCCAACAGGGGGCGGTGCTGGGGACAGTGCTGGCCGTGAGCTGTCAGGAAGGTGCTGATCAGGGGAGGGAAACCTGGGGCTCTTAACAGAGTGACAAGCTGTCGACATGGGCTGGGGTGGCCTCTGGGGGGCCAGGGCCTGTCCCAGAGGGTGTCGGTGGCTTCCAGGGTTCTGCCAGCAAGTGTCCCCTCCCGGCCAGCCACCCCTCCTGGCACTCACGCTCCAGCTCCCTGAAGAATGGGGGCAGAGGGGACCCTACCTGGCCACTGGACGGGGGGGCTCCATCCTGGCAGGGCTGCAGCCCTTCAAGCCCCACACCGGGAAGACAGCATCTGGGAGGCAGCCCTGCAAGCTGCCTGAGTTGAGTTCGGGGTTCAGAGGGCAGGGACTGAGGAGAGGGTTCTCCCCCAGACCAGGACGCAGGCTCACGTCCACTGCTCCCTGAGGACAGAGGGCCCAGCAAAGGCCAGAGACCTAAACCTAGGAGCCGTTCCTTCCCAGAACCGGCAAGTAGAGGGACGTGCAAAGTTAGACAAGAGGGAGGTGAGAGGAGCTGGAGCCATGTAGAACACTCACTAGAACCACAGGAGTGGGACAGGGAGACGGAGACGAAGGACAGGGTGGGAACACGTGCACCTGTCAGCAGACAGACCCGCAGGGGCGCGGAGGAAGGAGGCCCGGCCTCAGGGAGGGGCTGTGGCCCAGCCTGTCCTCCTGCCCTCCCAGCAGATGCATGCTGGCACAGGGTCCCAGTCCCTGATGGCACGAGGCCACAGCAAGGTCTCCATTTGGTCTCCACAGAAGCACGAAGCAGGTGTCCCCACAACACTCAGACCCCGGCCACACCCAGCCATCTCAAAGGTGCCTTTTCTTTACGGGGACTCAGCCTCGGGTGGACTCCTGTGCGCACTGACTGGTGAACTTCTCAGAAGAGAGCTGCAGAGTCTTCTTTGAAACTGGCAAGCTGCAGCTTCTCACAGGCTGGGCGGGGCTGTGTCCGGAGGGCCGGGGCCCAGGGCCCGACAGCAGTGCAGGCCGGCCGCACGCTGTGGTCCGCGATCCAGGACGTCAGCCTGCCCGCCCCGCAGCAGCCCCGCCCACCTGGGGCTTGCGGGGCTCAGCTGGGGTCTCCGCGGGCAGGGGCTGGCAGAGCACCTCCCAGAACTCCAGGTCTCCGGGGCGGCCAGCTGGCCAGGGCCACCTTCATCCCCAGTGATTACAGCAGGAGCTTGGGGGCACCCAGAGCAGGGCCTCCAGCTGGGACCGTCCGAGACGGGGGTGGGGGTGGCTCCCTGCAGCATGTCCCACCTCACCCTGGTCACAGAGCGTTGTGGTGGGAGTGACCGGCAGGTCCTCTGTGGCCGTGGCACCCTGTGTGGGCACCTGCCTGAGGGCAGCACTCCGCACTGCCTCCCTCACCACACAGGCAGGCCCAAACCCTCTGCAGCCATTCCACAGTGGGGGCACCACCTGGCTCCCACTTCGGCACGTCACTGTAGGCTCAGAGAGGCCCTCTGGACCAGGAGGTGTGGGCCAGGCTTGGGGGCGTCTTCCTCTTCCCCGGAAGACACCCTTCCTGCCAGGCCTGCTCTGTCAGGGACGCAGCTATGGCTGTGAGGGCCCCACAGGCCCATCTGCCCGAGGCCAGGATGGTTTCCCTTCATGGTCCTGGCCTCAGGGCCCTGCTCCGCCCTCCTGCTGGGCACCTGGGCAGTGTAACTGGGAGCGTGGAGGGGCTGGTGACCAGAAGGACGTCCAGGGACACAAGGTTTCCACTGGGGGTGCGACATGAGTGTGTGGGGGTGGCAGCTCAGGAGGCCTGCGTCCCACGTCCCCCTCCGGGGCCCTCATCACAGCACTCTGAGCCCCCTGCCGGGGGTGGCTGCCGGATCCCTGCCACCCCAAGGCCTGTCCCTCTCGGGCACTTGGGCATGAAGTGCAGCATCACGCTTGTGGACTGAGCTGCACCCTCCTGCCATCCTCAGGAGCGCCTGGGGCTCTGAGGCTGCAGACCACACCATGGTCCCACCATCAGTCCTGCTCCACCTGGGAGGTGCCCTCTGAGGCCTGAGTTTCATCCTTTAGAAGACGGGTGCAGGGGGCGACGGGAGTATGATGTGTTTTTGATAGAAAAAGCATCTTTACCCAGGACTGTTCCACATCAGCACCCCCTAGTTCTAGCTGACTTAGGCCCAAGTTAACAACTTGGGGTCACAGCGGACCTCCACTCCAGCCCCGGTCACCTCCAGGGAGGTCACTGGCTCCTACAGATCTCTTCTCTGGCTGGCACCTCCACTACCTCAGAGAGACTCTTTGTCAGGGGGAGGGTCCCCGAAGGTCTACAGGGAACCTGGCCCCCAGGCCGGGGTCCTGGAAGCCGCAAGACCCAGGCCTCCAGGGTCTCTCTGGGGTTGTGCTGGGAGGGCGGCTCGCCAGTGCCGCCTTTCTGCTGCCCCAAACCGTCCCAGTGCCTGAGCCACAGCTCCCTCTAGACGTCGGGGGCTCAGATTGGCTCTGGGCATCTGCCCTGCCACAGCTCCTTGGGACCAACCTTGGAGCCCTGTGCCTTCAGGCTAGCAGCTCCCGGAGTCCCTGATGGAGGAGGTCATGGGGGGGACATCGGTTCCCGCTGTCCTGCTGCTTGGGGGTCTTCCAAGGGAAACCCCTCCCCCACCCCGGGCCTCCCCAAGAGCTGGTGCTGAGCCTGCGTCCTGCGCGAGGAGCTGAGGTGGACGGGGAGCCGCAGAGCCCATCACCAAGCCCAGGAGACAGGGAGACCACAGTCACTACACTCGGGGCGCCCTACAGGGTGCCATGGGGACAGGGCATGTGACGTGACTGTGGGCCTGGGGCCCAGGGGACGCCTGCGCACGCCACACGCCCTGCGTGTGACGCGGAGTGTGCAGAGGCCGGAGGCAGGGGCCCTCTGCGCCGGCTCTGGGTGGGGGAGGCGGCCTTCGGCCCTCCCTGACGCTCTTCTCAACCTTTTACCGCACTTAATACTCTTAGTGAATGCGTCATTTTTTAAATAAACAAAAATAACATAATGCTCGTCTGGGAAGCAGGGCTTCCTTGTTCAGTTGATCCATTTCCAGTCCCAAGGAAGGAAAGCGGCTCCAAGTAGGAGGCACCACCCAGCGTCCCCTCAAGGGACACCCGCCTGCCCACCCGCCCTCAGGGGCCACACTGAGGGCTGCTAGCCCGTGTGCAAAACCACCGTCGAGTCCTTCCACCTGTGTGGCTGAGGCACTGCCTGACAGGGCTCCTAAGTGTTGTCCGTGCTTATGTGACGGCCTGGGCACTCAGGAGGCCAGACCATTCAGACATCCAGCCCGGCTCCCAGATGGCCTGCAGGTCTAACAGACGGTCCTACCCAACTTCAGGGTGGCTGTCCGCTCCCACCCTAAAGACAAGGAGCCCTTCCTGTGGGACCACACCTGACACCTGACGAGTTAGGACTCGGGTGAGAAGGGCCCCCACCAAGGACATGCGGTGCCCCAGAGCCACCCCAGCCAGCACACGCCCCCCCCGTGCCCATGTCTGACATCTGTTCCCACACTGACATCAGCCATCACCCCAGCTGTGCTGGCCGTCTACTTCCACGGCGCTGCTCTCCAGTCCCCACTCAACGCTTAGTGGGTCCCCGGGATTTCTGACGCAAACTTCCATCACCAACATTTTACAACCAGGTGCAGGAGCAAGGACTAGGTGCCCCCGACCTCAACCCAACAGGAAGTTTAACCAGCTTTTACTGAATGCCCATCGGTGCCAGCCACACAGTCGGAGGGCCAGGAATAAAGAAAGGAAGATGCCCCCCTCCAGCCTGCCCCACATGCCCCCACCTGGCTGTTCACTCCCCGCCCTCTTCCCCGACCCTCTGCTAGCACCGAGCCCCCCGTGTACCCTACAAACCACAGCGCGGTCATCCTCAGGAAGGCGCCACAATGCCCAAACCCCATCCGCCTTGTCCAGCGGCGCCCCTCCAGTGCGCATCCGGCTTGGGAGAGGATTCGCACCGCCCACCAAGCACGGCACCTGCGAGCCGAACGCGAGCCTGATGTGAAGAAACACACGTAAAACACCCGGTGCCTGAGAAACAGAGCTGCGACACAGCCCACCGGCCAGCAGTCCGTGCGCTCGGCCCTTCCGTCACCTCCGCACAGCAGCAACGGCCCCGCTGATGCCACCAACACCGGACAGGGTCATCACTACTAAACACAATTCTGGAGCAAAAAACTCCAGGGAGAACTTTGGTGACAGATACCGAGAACCGCTCATTTAAAAGTCAGAATACACACTTTGTCAAAATTTATCAAAACGTATCACTTCTGATCCGTTTACTTTTCTCTAGGTGTGTTCTACTTCAATTTTTAGAAAAGAACAAAGATTATAATGAAAACAGTATCACCTCACACCAGTAAGAAAGGTCATCATCCAAACGCCCACAAATGACAAATGACAAATGCTGGAGAGGCCGTGGAGAAAAGGGAACCCTCCCGCACGGCTGGTGGGAATGCAGGCTGGTGCAGGCACTGTGGAAAACAGTACGGAGATTCCTCAAAAGACTAGGAATACACTTACCATATGACCCAGGAATCCCGCTCCTGGGCATATATCCAGAAGGAACCCTACTTCAAAAAGACACCTGCACCCCAATGTTCATAGCAGCACTATTTACAATAGCCAAGACATGGAGACAGCCTAAATGTCCAACAGATGACTGGATAAAGAAGATGTGGTATATTTATACGATGGAATACTACTCAGCCATAAAAACCAACAACATAACGCCATTTGCAGCAACATGGATGTTCCTGGAGAAGGTCATTCTAAGTAAAGTAACCCAGAAGGAGAAAGAAAAATACCTATGAGATCAACTATACGTGGACTCTTAAAACAAACAAACAAAAGAACATAAATACAAAACAGAAACAGACTCACAGACATAGAGTACAAACTTGTGGTTGCCAAGAGGGGAGGGTGGGGAGGGACAGACTGGGAGTTCAAAATTTGTAGATACTGACAGGCATATGCAGAGCAGATAAACAAGATTATACTGTATAGCACAGGGAAATATATACAAGATCTCGTGGTAGCTCACAGCGAAAAAAAATGTGACAATGAATATATGTATGTTCATGTGTAACTGAAAAATTGTGCTCTACACTGAAATTTGACACAACATTGTAAAATGACTATAACTCAATAAAAAAAAGTTTTTAAAAAAATCAAGTTTGCTCTTTAAAAAAAAAACTTACCACTTGGAATAAAAAGAGCAAAAATAAAATGTTTCTTGTAAAAATGGAGACTAGAGAGGTTTATCAGTTCAACTGAAAAGAACAGCTTTAAATCCCAGTCCTGCACTTCAGCCTGCCTCACGGTGCTGCTAACGCCTTCTGAAGGCTCACAAAACCCCATCCTGGGACCCGACCTGGGTGAGCAAAGAGCACGCTTTGTCTGGGGCCGCCTGAGCCCCCGTCTCAGTGTCTGGTCCTTAGAGCAGCAGGCCCAGTGCTGGGGATCCTCTACTTGTCAATTTAACCATCATTCTGAAGAGCATTTCAAACTACCAACGTGGAGAGTGCGTGGACACCCCAATACCATGCCTCAGTAACCCCAATGCTGGACGGTGTGCTTGGGCCGGAACCTCATCCCCACCCAGGCTGGCCGTGTGCACAGGCTGAAACCCAGAGTTTCCAGTTACAGACAGTCACCCGGAGGAAAAACAGGCCCAGGAAAGTGCCTCCAAGGCCAAATCTGTCAGCTTCCAACCTTCACAATAATTAGCCCAGATGTCACTTTTATGGGAAACGTGGTTTTCATGCTGTTGCTATTTCTCTGCACCAGAAGCAACTCCAAATTTTCATTGCCAAGAAGGGTTTCCCCCAAAACAAAACTTTCATAAATCACATCTGGGCTGGACTACATGGATTTCAGACTATAATTTTTACCACGTTTCTTTGTTGTGTTATTCATTCCCATTGTAAGTGGCTTTTCCTCGCCATTTAGGAACTAATTCTCATCAAAAGACAAGAGTGCCAGGGGAGGTGGTGGGGAGGCCCTCCCAGGTGAACACAGGAAGGGGGAAGGGACGGGGAGCCTGCATGCTCACCAGGGCAACTCCTGCCCCCTGGGACCTCAACCAGTGTCCACAGCTCCTGCCTCGAGCCTGGTAAGTCACGGCACCGGAGACCACGGGAGGGAGAGCATCCGACAACTCTGCTCTGACTCCAGGCCTGCGGGGCGCTGCCCAGCAGCAGCCCGGGAAAGGGCTCTAGACCACAGTGAGGTCCTCCCTGAATCCCAGAGATGCCCCCTGGATGGACCTGGCCACGGCCGTGACGCAGAAGCACAGCCCTGCCCTCTCCACCGCACACCCCTCCAGAAACGAGGGAAGCCACCTGTGCGGGAAGCTGTGTAAGGACGCTGGCTCCCACTTCTCCAGAGTCAAACCCCAGTTCACAAAACACGTCAGCATCAACTGTGAAAGGTTATCCAAGCTGCTCTCACCGGGGAATTTTATCCCAGGAACTCTCCGCCCCAACACAACTGCAGTTCCAAGGAATCAAAGCACAGCCCAGAGGCAAACTGGACCGATCCCACCTCGCCATCTGCCTGCGTGAAGAGCGTGGCTGCGGCCCGGACGCCGCCGTCAGAGGCTGCTCTGCAGAGACACGCGAAGTCCAGGCAGAGGGCATAAGGGGACAGCGCACCTCCCACACCTACGCTCGCTCGTGCACACGTGTGGGGACAGGACAAACGTGTCTGCGTGTGCACCTGTGCAGCGACAGGGCTCCCGGAACCCTAAGTCGTCGTCAAGGACACACACGAACCTCATCACACACTCGGCCATCTGGTTAATGCTTTCTTGACCAAGTCAAATTTTAAGTGGGTAAACAAGGTGGCCTGTCCTACGCGACACAGAAATCTAGGAGGTGAGGCAAGAACTCCCTTCTGCCATAAAAGCAGGACACAAACCCGCAGGGGCTCTGGAAAACGTGGGACACTTACGGAGAGAGCCGTGACCACCAAAGCCATTGAGGACTAAAATCTCCACCCGAGAAGTGACTCTCGGGATGGGAACCGTCTGTGACAAACAGAACCGGCAGCCGTGCCTGCTGGCCTGGTAAAGGGTGAGACCCTCGCACATGAACGAGCAAGTCCCAGGACACGCCGCACACTGACTAAGTGCACCAAGAAAGACCCAGGTTTACCCAGGAGCTCGGCAGGAACGCGGTTTTCCGGCACTGTGCCGGGAGGGCCGCGCGGTCTACGCGGAATACGGTCAAAGTCCACTGACTTCAACAGCACTGTGCCCTGAAGTGAGAGAAGCTGTCACATGTTGCAACTTCATGAAGGGCGGGCTCGGAGAGCCTCACGTCTCCAGAAGAAAAACGTGGCTTCCTGATAAAGAGACACCGGTTAACTCAAACCACCAGAAGGCTCTCAGCAGCACAGAGCTGGGACACAGACCAACAAAATGAGCCGTGACCACCTCATACACATGTGGTAATAAAAGCATATTAGTTAATTACTTTATTACAGTTTAGTGCTTTCTTTAAAATAAATATAACAATATAATATCAAACATACAGTGAGAAATAAAGCACACGTGTGAACAGCGTGGGAACAGGAGCGTTCACTCAGGACCGGTCCATACTCTGCACTTGGGGGACCAGAAGCCCCGCCCGGATTCACAGTGCGGAGCTGCGGGCCGATGGCAGGCACCCCCCCACACGAGGGGGGAAGCCCGCCACCCCCCAGGCCCTCCTGCACCGCGCCCCTCCTTCCTCGTGTACACAGCTCATCCCCCTCACCTACCTAAAACTTCCGAACAGTTTACTTCACTAACTTTCTCTCTCTACTGATGTTGAGCTGCTTCTGCAGTCTGAGATGGATTCAAGTAACACTCCCAAGAAAACATGTGCAAAACTAACGTTAAGCGGCTCCAGAATCTTCCAGCGGTCGGGTCAAGTCCAGACTCACAGCAGCTGGTCAGTTGCCGGGTGGCGGCAGCCACGCACAGCCAGGAGGGCGGCGGCCCCGTCCCAGGGGACATCTGGTCTGGAGAAGCGCTAACGACCGTCAGGGCAACACAGAGGAGCCCGGAGCATCCCACTTATGTGGCGTTCGCAGACGGCCGCAAACAACCACTGTTTCTAAGCAGGTGGCAGAACGAAGTGACCAGTCTCAGGCAGGAGCCGCACACTCCACTCCGGGCACGCTGCTCTTCCGGAAGCAAGGATCAAGACAGGACAAGTGACGACATAATAAAGACACTAAACGAACTGTCAGCTCAAGTGCATCACCTTTTAAGAGAAACATGCTCAGAGTGAAAAATATTCTACTTTACCAAAATCTGTCTTTATTAAAGTGAACAAGTCACGAGCGCAATCCGAAACTGGATGAACGAGCCTGTAATCTGCTCAGCCCGCCTGTCGTCCACCGGGCAGACGCCAGCAGAGAGCACGCCCACGTCCTCACGACTGCGTGTCAGCGAGGCCACCTCCGTCCTTGTAAACGTCGTTTTAGCAGAAGACAGACTTTGCAGATTTCAGTGCTTTTAGTGAACTGGTATTTTCAGTAAACTTTTTCTGAGCAGCAAGGAACAAGAATTTTTTTCAGAAATCTTAGAATTGGATATAAACGTTGGCAGTAGACATAATCAATAAATATGATACAATTTCTCAAATGGAAAAGATTTCCCCAAATCAAATTCCTTTCCTAAAGACATTCGAACACCCTGACCTGAGAGCGAGCCTCAGTCCTATAATCGCACGAGATGACAGCTGGCCAACGAGGGGGTTGGGTCATGTGCAAAGGGGGCGAGGTGACCGGCGAGGAAGCAAAGCAAATTATGTCCCACTGATGCTGCAGGAGAACTTCAAGTAAAAGGAGCCCGCTGCCCGCAGCTCCACACACGCCGGCCCTCGTCCGAAGCCTTGTGTGAGGGGGGCCCACGGCGGCCGAGCCGCGGGGGACGCGCCGCCTCCCCGCTCCCGCTGCACCCGCCAGCCTGCGTGCTGGGAGCCCAGGGAGGGCTTTCTTCTGTTGACCAGAAGCCTCTTGTAAAAGGTCTGTGATTCTGCACACTTCGTACCCAAAAGGATGAAAATAATAAATGCGGGCCCGGCCGGCATGCCGCAGACCCCCGCCCGCACAGGGTCATTTACGAGGCTGGGTCTTCTTTGGCACCGAGGGCCGCCTGGGCTGCCACAAGTGGTTGTGGATGGTGAGCGCGTCCACACTGACGGACATGGTTTTGGCCGGGATCAGGTTAAACTGTTTTCGGTCTGAGCTGTATTTATACAGTTTGTCGATCATTTTCTTGGTGATACTCTTTGGCCCCGTGCCAGTTAGTTTGTAGATTTCTTCAGTGTCGGGATAGTAGCAATAAAGTGCCCTGAACTGGCAGCCAGCGTCGCGAAACAGTATGATGTAGTGATTGGCGTCACACTTCTCCAGCTCCTGTATGGAGGGAGTGAAGGAACAGAGACAGGGACTGAGTGTCTCCAGGAGGCACGGCACCACAGTGCTCTGTGGGCCTGACCGAGAGGCCGGTGGCCAGCTGACCCCCCACTCCTGGGGCAGGCTCACTAGTGCCCACCACAGGTGCCGACTCCGAAATCAGGGGCTATCTCTTGGGTGAAGCATCGTCTCCCCCTGAGAGCTTACTTAAGAAGTCTAGGCATCCAAAGGGAAAAATGCTTTTAAAATTATGTGAAAAATCACATGAAAAGATGCTCAGTGTCATTAGCCATCAGAGACATGCAGATCAGGGCAAGAGAGAAGCCTGCTCCACCGCCAGCCTCGGTCAGACAGACAGACAGGAACAAGCGCTGCTGGGAGGCGCTGCCGGGGACAGTGGCAGTGCAGCCGCCGTGGAAACCAGAATGGCAGACACAGTCACATGACGCAGCCGCTCTTCCCTTAGTTACACACGTGAGAGAAACGAAAACACGCATCCACGTAAAACCTGTACATGAACGTCCACAGCAGCGTTACTCACAAGTCAAAAAGTAGAAGCAACCCACACGTCCATCAGCAGATGGATGGGAACCCAAAACGCGGTGTGGACGGACAACGGAATGTTACTCAGCCACAGAAAGGAATGAAGCCCCCACACTGGCTACCACACGTGAGCCTTGGAAATATCATGCTGAGTGAAGGAAGTGGCCCCAAAAGGCCGCACAGCGTAGGGGCCCCTTCCCAGGAAACGTGCAGGGAGGCAAACACACAGAGAGGGCCAGCAGGTGTGTGGCGGCCGGGGCTGGAGGGGCTGTGCGAAGTGGTCATCGGCACAGGGCTCCTTTTTGGGGGAATGAAGGTTCTGGAATTAGACAGTGGTGACGGTGGGGCTCATCCGTGAACAGGCTGCACTCTAACAGGGTGGCGCTCTCACGATGGGTGAGTGACCTGTCAACAACGCCAGCACAAGGAGCCTGCGGACCGGGTCCTGACCTCTGAAATGTTTCTGTGTCGACAGTTTCTTAAAAGCAGATCCTCCTCACGCTTGAAAATATCTGCTTTAATTGTCTACCCCAGCAGTTTTCAAAGCATGGCCCTGGGGTTCCTGAAGCCCTCTCCCCAGTGTCTGCAGGACGTCCTCTGCCTTTTCAGGCTCCCCTCAGTGTGCAGCGGGGTTTCCAGGGGCCACGGGCCAGGCGGCCAGGTAACAGACCGGACGTGGAAGTGGGGAAGAGCCAGCTATCTTTAACAATACCGAAAACTAGAAAGACTTGTAAAAATGTAAAACAATGCCACTCTTCTATTTATTTTGGTTTCAGAAAACTAGTTTTTTCACAAACATATACTATCCCTTTCAACCTATAACAGGCTTATAATTTTAAATAGATTAAGAAATAAATATACATTTATTAAATTAAGTGGAAAAAGCAGAATCCAAACCTGCATCTGTAATACCAACTTCTAATTCCATAAAAGTTGTCTGAACGTAAACAGAATGAGGTGTGAGGAAGCATCCTGACCCAGGTCCCGTCACTGACTCCCACGCCCACCCCCACATCTGTACTGGGGTCACGGTCCTCCTCTGCCCACAACTGCAGCTGCCCTCTCCCACAACGCAAAGCCAAGTCCCTTTGGCCAACAGAAGGTGTGTAGGAGCTGCCCTGTGAGCCCCAATTTCCCAGCTCCATGCTTCAGCCCAAACTGGGGGCTCAGTCCCGCCTCGTGCCCGGGCGCCTCCCCCTACGAGGCTCTGCTCCAGCATCACTTTCCTGAAGACCCTCCCTGATCCCACCCCGGGCCCCACCCTGCTCCGTTACTCTTCGAGGTTTCCCCTCACATGTAACCTACGGCTGCAGCCCAACCGGCCACCACTGCCCCTGGACACGGCCCTGTGGGGACCAAGCCACACCGTCGGTCCTATGATGTCACCACCAAGCGGACATGGTAGCCGAGCCGGCGTCGCTTCCCGTGTGACTCCTCTTTCAGGGCTATCTCACACCCTGGATCGTAAGCCCCCTGGCGAGGCCTTCAGGCCAGCTCCCTGACCGACCCAGGGGCTAGACCAGCCAAGGACAGTGGAGGGGGCCCTGCTGTCCCCTCAAGACTGAGCCTCAGTTGGGTGATGGGCATGCATCCTGACCTTGACCCTGACTACCAGTGCCTCCCAGATCTGCCACGCCCCACAGCCTCCACAACTCACCGATGACGTGACCGAGGCCCAGTGGTGCAGCTGCGCAGTCGTGGGCAGTGTGGCCCGCAGGGGGGCAACGGCCAACATGACAGGACAGACACCACCAGCATTCTGCCCCCAAACTTCCGTTCTCCAGGGGTCCCCGCTCAGAGCTGGAGTCCCCTCCTAGAGCCTCCTCCTCCTCCTCCCCTGGGAGCCCACAACCCCGCCCATGAACCCCTCCAGGCTCCATCCCTTACACCCACCCCCTTGGGACTCTCCAACCTCAGCACCTTCCGCCTCGTCCACCTGCAGTCACCCACCCTCAGCTACCAAACCACGTCTGCTGTGGAAACCTCACCACCTCCGGTCCCCTACCCGGACCCAGGTGGCTTCCCACTGGGCCCCTCCCTGGACTCCCAGCTCAGTCCCCTCTGGGTCCACTGGTCTAAATTCTGCTCTTCCACAGAGCCCTCCCCACCACGAGGGCCCAGGAATGCTGGTCGGCATGCCCCGAGCCACCCTCACACGTCGACAACCAGGGTGCTGCTCCCTTCCAGAGGGAGCCCGTATCTACAGACACTGCCATTCTGTACAGAGACTTAGAGGTAGAGCTCAGTACTGACCTCCAACACTGAATTCTTGTGAGGCTCGTTCACTTTCCCCGCCAGACAGCAGTGGGACACGGCGTTATGAATAATCGACTTGTTCGACTTGCTGCTGGGCTCCTTAAAGAGCTTGGGACCTGCGAAAGCCAGGCCGAGACTTGCAAACTCGCTACTTAAGGCATAAACACACACACAAAAGAAAACGAACAATTTCGTAGAACCAACCAACAGGCAGGCTGAATTAAGGATGTTTGTAATTTTTTGAAGTAACAGCCACTTCCAATCTATGGGGGAATTTTAAGCTACAGATTAAAATAAACTAAGAAAAAATTAAACTAAGTAATTACTTAGTCTTTTTCTAACAGTTTCTTTGATATAAAAAAAGACAAAACCAAGGAACAATAATTTATAAAAGTCTAAGGTTCCAAAGCACCCGGGGCACCCTACTGAGCTGCAGGGCTGTGCACACACAAAGGCACGTCCCCCACGGAGGCAGCTGGAGAGCCAGTGTCCACCTGACAACACATCCGCACCCGCAACCTAGGAAGAGCGAGGGTCACCTGTGTACTCGGCCACCGAGGCGAGGGAGGACGCTGCGGACGCCGTCTCCCAGTCTCTGTCCGTGCTCCTGCTGGGGTTGCGGCTCAGGATGGGCAAGGCTTCCAGGGACTCCACTCTGAAGGGAAGGACAGAGGTGGGGTTGGGTCATCGTGGACACACCCCTCACCCACAACTGCCATAGCGTGGGGGGTTCCACCCTGAAACGGCCAAGCTGCACCATCAGCACAGAGGGACCAGCCACTGCAGCAGGAGCCCCGAGGTAATGGTGGGGGCAGCGCGGTGGTCTACTCCCCCAGAACACGACAGCGAGGTCTGGGCAAGGTACAACCCAAGCCCTGGGCACTGCGGAGTGTGGAAACACACGGCCGGGAGAGGAGTGCCTGCCAGGGAAGTTCACCCTCAGGCAGCCCTGTGGAGCAGTGCTCAGCCATGCTGGCCCGGGCACCAAGGGGCAAGCGTGGTCCACCTGTGCTGCTGCCCAGCAAGGGACAGGTCCCCGCGAAGGAGGGAGGGCACAGCGGGCTGTCTGGGCCCCAGTCTCAACGACTCTCCCATCCCCAGCAGGCCTGAGCTATGTCCCTGCAGGGCAGTCCCCGCTGAGCACAACAGATGCCACCATGCATGGGAGGCAGGCACCACTGAAGTTCAAATCCAGCCCTGGTAACTGACCACCTGACCAAAGGTCCAACCAGAGTTCAGAGTCCCCGGGAGGTGTCCTCCACAGAGCCCAGGCGATGAGAAGCCACCAGACGTGCGAAGGGGCAGGACAATGCGGCCACAGGGTGCACGCACGTGACAAAGGACCGGGGTGGGGGGCGCCTACCAGAGGCCACCCCACCCACAGAGGAGGTCACCGAGGCCAGTGGGCAGACGTTCAGTGGTGCTGACGAGGACCCCAGCACCTCCGCCCAAGTGACTCTTTAATCACAGAGGGAGATTTTTCACTGCTGGGGAAAACCACACCTCAAACAGCCCAAGTCAAGGGACAGGCCTGACAGGCTGCCCCAAGAACCGAACACCCTCCTCCCCTTGGTGCCGTCTCCGGGTGCTCCCGCCAAGTGCACAACCCGAACCAGACTCCAGGGAGAGCACACCAAGAGGCAGGCGACAAAATAACCAGCCAGCCTGTACTCAGCAGGTGTCAGGGCCCAGGACGCTAAGGGCTGCAGACGTGCCCCAGGTGGACAGACAGGGACTCAGCTCGACCTGGGCCCCCCGGGTCCCCCCACACAAGGGTACTCCCGGACACCCAGCCACAGCAAACAAGGACTGAGGACCCGTGAGAGTGCTGGCCCGATGACCAGCTGCGTAAGACAACACCCCCGCTCGTAGGACGTATTCAAGGATGCAGAGCAGGCTGTCACCAACTCCCTCCTGAACAATCAAAACACAAGTGTGTGTGCGGCTGGGAGAGGGCGAAGGGACTAGAGAAGGACAGAGCAAATGTGGCAAATTTGGTGAACCCAGGTGAAGGGTGCTTTGTTCTCGTGAAATCACAGCAACTGCTCTGGACACCTGAAGTCACACCACAGAAGTTACAAAACCATCGCCCACACATCCTCCCAGCCCCCTTACCGCTGGGCGGGTGTGCCCCCCGAATGTACACTCTCGGGCTCTGTGGTCGCCGCAGAGGCCAAGGACAGGCTGGAGCCCGACTGGGCCCGGCTCAGGTTATCAGCTGCCAGGGAAGAGAAGAGCTTTCACGAGACACGAATCTGTTCCCCCAACCGCCTGCGCAGCCCCTCATGGCCTGGGGGCCCGGGAAGAGGCGGACACCCACGGGAGGGGGTGTCTCTGCTCTGCCTCTGGAGGGGCACCTGCGAGGCCTGCGCTCCACCACCTGAGGACTCCAGCACTCGGCCCACCTCTCCCTCCTGAGAACCGGAGAGCCCATCCGCCCCCAGACGCTGCGGGGAGTGGGGAGCAGGGAGCTGAGGGCAGGGCCACGGCGCCCCTTACGGGTGGAGGCGCTCTTGGGTCCCGAGTCACTGTTCGGCTCCTCGCGGTGGACGGACTTCGGCCGCGGCTTCTTGGGTCTGGCCTTGGGTCTGCCCAGGCCCTGCTCCTCCAGGACCTGCTGCTGCTTCCGCCGCAGGTACTCCTGCTTGATGAGCTCCCGCCGCGCCTTCTCCTCCTCCTTGCGGATCCGGTCTTCCTCCGCCTTACGCCTGATGGAGGATACGGCCGTCCTGCTCAGAGGCTTCCGGTCCGTTCCTCCGCCTTACGCCTGATGGGAGGGATACGGGCCGTCCTGCTCAGAGGCTGGGGCAGGCGGCGCTCACGGCCCGCCCAGGCGGCAGCAGCTCCCCCGCCCGTCCCGGGGGTGGGCCTACCGGGCCTCGTCCCGCTTGAGCTCCACCTCAGCCTCCAGCTGCTGCCTCCGCATGCGCGCCTCCTCGGCCTTGCGCTGCTGCTTCAGGAGGAAGGCCGCCCGCTTCTTGGCGAGCTCGTCATCTGCCTTCTGCTCATCCTGCAAGCAGACATCACCTACAGCCCGGCCACCTGGCTCCCCAGCAGAGCCGCGCCCCGGCAGCCGAGCTGAACACACCCTGAGAATACACCACGTGGGGCCCAGCACTCACCCTGCTGATGACGAATGAGCATGTCCTCGTGGACAGCAGAACGCAAACCGAAGAGAAACAGGCCACTCAAAAAGCATTCAGTTTGTCATCCTGAACCTGAACTCACTTGCCTTATAAGCCATGTCTAGAGCCCCAGGCAGGAGCCAACACCAGGCTGGTTACTCGTCTGTTCCCAGCGTACGAGCAGACACCACACAGCGCCCGCGTCTCATGACAGGGTGGCTCACACCGCTCCACAGTGTGTCCCCACCTCACAACTGCCCGGGGAGGGGAGACCCCGTCCAGACAGAAGAGAGCCTCACAGTTCACCGCTCTCTTCTCTACAAGAAAAAATTACAAGGAACAGACAGGAACAAAACCGTTTCCTAAAGCTTCTGCATCTGCCCAGACCCTATAACAGGGTTTAGCAAACCTTAGCCCGAAGGCCCACCACCTGTCTTCTGAAGCCTGCGAGCCAGGAATAGTTTTTCATTCTCACACGGTTGGAAAACCACGGGAAGAAAAACTTTCACATTTCGGGGCCCTGAGGACAGCTCTGCTAGCGCAGCCAGACTCCCGCCACTGGGTGAGGTCCTCGCAGGGACCGGCGGCCGAGGAGCTGCGTGCGCTGGGCCCTCAGCAGAAGAGGCTCAGTTGTCTGTGCTGCCCTCACGAGCACGGCGAAGTGAGGACACCTGCCTGCCGTGTGACACAGACGCCACCTTACCTTGAAGAAGAAGCCGACACCCGGCTTCTGGTCGCCATCGCTACCAAGGTCTACGGCACTCTCTTGGCCCCCCGTCTCCTCGTCCTCATCAGGGGCCTTCAGGTCGGAGAGGTCCACCTCGATGAGGCTCACCTTGCTCCGCGGGGGCTCATCCAGGGCCATACTCTCCTTCACCGAGATGCTGAGGGCGCTGAGCCCTGCCTCCTTCACGCCCTCCAGCGCCTCCTTGAAGCCCCCCTGCTCCGATATGATGTTCGCGTCCCTGGGCGCCCTCTGGTTGTTCTCATCATGAAGCCTGTAACTGTCCAGGAAGCCCTTCTCGTGGGCATCCCTTCCAGGGTCAGTGATGCCGTCCCAGCTCGGGTCGGAGGGTGTCCGCGGAGGGAAGGGCCGTAGGTGCGGGAGGGTCTCAACACTGGGCGTGGGGGTCTTGCTTCGGGAGGAACCTTGAGGTCGCTCTTTCGGAACCTTCAGCTCAGCTGGCCTCCCCGAGCGGGAATTCCGACCCTGGCCGAGCCGCAGGGGCTTGCGGTGACCAGCTGTTCCCGTTGGAGACAGCGGCTCAATGAAGTGGATGGGCGCCTTGACCTTCGGGTCCTGGGAGCCGTTTTGGGGCCGGGGGCGGGTGCAGTGGGGGGCTCCATGAGCAGCTGCTCCTGCTGCTGGGAGATGCGGAGGATGGCCTGCTGGAGCGCGCTGATGGTCTCGCTGAGCTTCTCGATGGAGAGCTCGCACTCGCCCGTGCCCACCCCATCACCGGCGCCGCCCTCCAGGAGGGCCGCGGACAGCGCTGTGCTCCTCTCCAGCTCATGCAGGATGGCGGGGTCCTTCGGGCTGTGCTGCTGGATGAGAGCCTCTGTGCTCAGGTCCTGTGGCTCCAGGAGGCCCGCCCTCCCCTCCTCGACAAGGAGGTCCTCCGTCCTGGACCCACCGCTGGTGAAATCGTCCCCGTTGTGCTGTGAATACTCTCCAGCCAAAGCTTCTGCTTTGAGTGGCTGCGGGGCCACGTCGGGCCTGCCCTTCTTGACCACATGCAGGAAGGCCGCCTTCCCCAGCGTCAGGCGCTGCCGTGCAGACAGCGCCTCCATCTTCCTCTTCTGCGCCTCGATGGCCCTGCGCTTCTCCTCCAGCTGCATGTGCAGCTGCACCAGCTCAGAGGCCAGGAGGCTGGCGTGGTCCCTGCTCTGCCTGCTCGGGCTCTGCTCCCGCCTCTGCTTCCACGTCGTCAGGGGAGCCGGGCAGCTCTCTGAGGCATCGGGCGTGGTCTTCTGGGAGCTGCTAGTGCTCGACTTGGTTTCACAGCTGTTGAGCCTCTGCAGCTTCCTCTCGGCGAAGCTGGTCATCTTCACGCTCCCGCTGGCCATGGAGACGCTGCTGACCTGGGAGACAGTGCTCAAGCACGGGCTGGAGCGGCCACTGGCGTCATCCTTGTCTTCGTGCTCCTTCACCTTCATGTCCTCCTGCAGCTTCGCTGACTCCTCCTCGCCGCCGTGCAGAGCTGTCCCCAGGGGGTGGTCCTCGCCAGCGAAGTCCTGCTCGGCCTCATCCAGGTCAGCCAGGTCGGAGTCTGAGTCCTGCCTTGGGACGCGCCAGGGCTCTGGGCCGTGGGCACCAGGGCTCCGTGTGCAGCCCACATAGAACCTGCCCTCCGAGTCCTCATCAGCTCTGGCTACGTGAAGAAAGAAGCCATCGGCAGACTGTCCCTGAGATGTTGGATCGAAACCGCTGCTGGACAGGGGCCCGCCGTGGGCCTCCCCCCGCCACCTGCGGCCCTGCCTCAGTGGGTGCGGGGTCGAAGCCCACAGGAAGTTCTGAACAGGAGATCGGGGTGAAAGTCCTGTTCAAGTCACGGCTGACGTGACAGCCGGGCACCTTCTTCCGCACCAGAGGCTGGTGGCCCTCGCCGGGCCTGCGGGACGAGAAGCCCCTTGGCCGCCCCTCCCCGCACTCATCCTCCTTGGTGATCGCCTGCTTCTCCTTGGCCGGCCTGAGCACGGCCGGCATCAACGGCTCCAGGAAGAAACTGTCAGGCTTGCTCTCTAAGGGGTCCGCCTGCCGCTGGGGAGACCTGGCACTTGCCGTCAGGCCTGGGTCACCACTCTGGTGGGTGACATCCGTCCTAATGATGGCTACAAGTTCCTCATCCTCGTCCTCGATGTCCACATTGTTCAACAGGCCCTTCCCATCAGCCTTGGTGCCTGCGGGGTGTGGCTGGTTCTGCGGGGTCAGATGAACAATATTGGATGCCAAGCTGTCCTTGCTGATGGAGCGCGCCAGGCTGACGCTGTCGCCAGAGCCAGGGTCCATGTCGCAGCTCGCTGCGTGATGGAGAGCGAAGGGCGCCGGCTGAGACACGGGCCTGCAATGCGGGGGAAAAGAAGCCCACGGGTTACGAGTCATAAGAGGACCCACATCTCAAACACAGAAGACTGACAAACCCTCCCCCGGGGAGAAAACTGGAGTCCTCTCCGTTCTGGGACTGGCAGACACCCTGGCCCAGGGCCCCTTAAACTCGCCGAGGGGCCCCCAAAGCTTTTATTTGTTCATCCACATTAATCAGTATTTATCATACTAGAAACTAAAGCTGGAACATTTTTTAAAAGGACTAAAAATTACAGTAAGAAATCTGTTACACGAACAATGACCATATTTTCTAAAACAGGGAAGTTTAGAGTGCAAAGCATGGCCTCATTTGACACCTGTGCAGACCTCCCAGACATCCGACGGGATTCCCAGGTCTGGCTCTGACTCAATCTGCTGTGACACCACACACCCCCCGCCCCGTGCCCTTGGAATTGGAAAAGCAGGTTATGGAAGTAAGTCTGACCTCTGAAGGTCTCAGTGGGCCCCAGGGCTTGCATTAAAGGACGCTGCATGTAGATACTTATTAGAAAGGCAGGTAGTTCACCTGTGTTTTTTTTCCATCCACGCTACCGCTGTACCTCGGGGCTGACCATCGACTCGGGTTAAAGAATTAGATCGGTGTCGCTGATCTGTAGTTCGGAGGAAACGGTAAGTACGTTCAGCATTAAGTAACCTATTTCACAGTGCTTGAAGTGCTTTCAGTATAATAGCCATTTCTCAAGGAAATACATCATAACTCAGCACACCAAAACTGCTCAGGGAAAGCAGATAATCACAAAGACACAATTTTCAATAGTTTCAGTAACAGGTAGTGCGTAATTCAACAGCAATCAGCCCAGGTCATAATCAGAACGTCAGTTATAGGTCAATATCAATTAAATGATGTCACCATCAATTAAAACAATCAGTGAAGAGCAACACGTTTAAGTTCTTCCTCAGGCACTACAGTAACTTTCTGTATACATTGTATAACTTACTAGATTTTCATAATATTTTCACAACAAAGACTATAATTTCTAAGGCACAGCAATAAAAATTACAATGCATTCTGCCACAGTCTTCTTAACTAGAAACGCGACGTCACGATGAGAGCATCTTTCTGAGAACTATCACTTTCACGAGCGACACTGAGAGGGACGAGGAACAAGGAAGGCTTCTCACCGGGGGGGTCCTCTCCCTGCACAGTCTTTTGCTGTTTCTGTCTCAGGGGCAACAAAGGATGCGATGGGCTAAAGGCAGAAGCCCCTTTCCCCCTAAATGGAAGAAGGATGGCAGAGAAAATCACTACTTCATCAATCTTTAAGTTCAAAGACAAATGCATAAGAAGCTACACAGAACACCGTGAATTCACCCCCAAAGAAGGAACCAAAATTATAATATTTTCCCCAAAAAATGAACCAAAAATGTACCAAGAACATCAAACCTGGGATAAATATCCAAACTGCAGCCAGGAGACAGTGACTTCTGGCTGGAGCCTGTAATACAAGTCTCAACTTTTAACAACTATGCAATTAATTAATTAAGGTTATCCTCCTTGCCTCCGGGCAGCTGGGGCCAGCGAGAGGCCTCTGGCTACCTACTCGGTACTTCTCCTATTGCCCCATGAGAAAAGGCAACTCCAATCAGAGCTGTAAACCAGCGAGAGAAGGGGCAGGACGGCGACTTAACCCTGAGCCAACAGGCTTACAGGTGCTCGGGCTCCTCGAGGTGCAGGTGGTGTCTGTGGCCCTCGGCCTGCAGCTGGGCGGAGGGCTGGAGGTCGGCCGGGCTCGCCGCCGCAGGGCTGCCCAGGAAGCTCCGTTTGGTGGCGTTGGAGATGGGGACAGGAGGCCGGCTGCTCTTCTGGTGTGACACCGCTTTAGCTGCAGAAACAACAGTTTTATAGAAATAGTTGCATTATTATTTACAGTTACTTGAAACACTAGCAAGAAATCCCTTTTTTTTAATCCCAGTTTTTGTAAGCACTAAAAATAACGCAACTTTTACTTGAAACCAAAGTTCTCCTCCCCAAAACTGGTTTCAACTTCAACAAGTGTATTCTGTATTGAACATTACAAATGTGATACCAGAATTAAAAGCCACAACACAGCCTAGAACAGCAGGAACTGGAACTGGACATGCAAGTCTGACAACCAGCAAGCTGCCTCGTCCTGGGCCCCGCCCCGGGGAGCCGCCCTGCAGCTCCAGGAGACCCACAGAAACAGCAGCAACAAGCCACAGCAGGGTGAGGGCCGAGGACAGAGTAGCTCTTCCACAGCTGGGCCAGGTCAGGGACCTGGGCCTTGAAAATCTCGAATTCCCAGATCTCCTGCAACTCTGTGAGCCTGCAGAAGGTGCCCTCCCCAGGCCCCTGTAGGACTTGCCCTGCCTCCCATCCCGGCCACCAGCCTCCAAGCACAGGCTGGACCTGACAGGGCGTGTAGCCAGCAGCCGGGGCAGGCCTGGGTCAGGGAGAGCATGCTGACGTGGGAAGACTCCTGGACCCACAGTTCAGCAGGGACCCCGGCACGCACAGCACACAGACTAACAGCATAGCCCTCACTATGCAAGGGCCACCACGGCTACCTTCAGACAGCCGATCCACTACAGAGGGATGAGGAGCCCGGGGCAGACACCCCAGCTCAGAGGCGTGAGGGGCTGCCCCCAGTGACTGCCTGAGCCGGCAGAATCCACATGGACAAGATCACCCAGAAGCAGGAGGGGTAGCCAAGGGGACTGGTAGCAGCGGGTGGGGATGGGAAGGGCATCCCCAGGGGCCAACAGCCAGCAGCTGGCTGGTCCCACGAGAAGAAACCAAGGATGGGTGACTGGACGCTGAGGAAAGCCCCTATCAGGGCCTGAGCCTGGAACCACCTACCCATGAAGAGCTTCCCAGGAGCCAGGACCCACCCGCTAAGGCTGGAGCGCACAGCACTGACCCGAGCCCCTCCCCACAGGACAGACGCCACTTCCTCAGGTGCCCTGTGCTGGGGATCAGGGACACCCAGCACGTCCCAGACAGGGGACGCAGAGCAGGACAGAGCTTCTCCTTGGGCCCAAGCTGTGCAGTCCAGCAGGCCCATGCTCTGCAGGCATTGGGGCAGGTGAGAGCCACAGGGGCTTCGGCAGGTCCCAGTGGGAGAAGCAGAGGGTAGGATCCTGGGGTTCTGGGGCAGGGCCACACCACCTGCCACAAAGAACCACACACATTAAGGATACAAGGCCTGGCATGCACTGGGCATGGCTGAGACCATGTGCCCTGCTCACAAGACACCCAGGGACCAGGTATTGGCACTCAGAACTGTCCCTCGGGAACACAGTTCTGTCAGACACCCCCAGTCTCCAGGGTGAGCTCACCGTCAGCAATTCACCCTAAGATTGATGTGACACCTTGGGATTGAGCCTGTGCAGGACCAGGCCCACCAGCCATGTTCCATCCACACCTACAACACCAGCACCCCCTCGGCTCCAACTGCAGCCACATGGGGACCCCTGACGGTCGCTGACAGAAAAAGCAAAGCCCGAGTCTGGTAAACAGATGGGTGGATTGAAAATGTGAACAGACGCCACTGGCTGCTGTCAGCCAGCCTGTCATCAGCCAGCACCAGGCAGGCACCATGGGCACACGCAGGATGTGGCGAGAGGCAGGGATGGACCTGTGCCCGGGAGGCCACCGGCACGGACTCCCACTGACCAGCTCCACGGGGCCAACGCTGAGCCCCGAGCACGGCACCGGTGCGGTGGGGGGGACAGTCTCACTGGGACTGGGAAGACAGGTGCACCATGTGCTGGTCCACAGGACTCAGCCCACCTCTAGCCAGCGACACAGAGAGCAGGACCTGGCCACACAGGCCCCAAAGAGCATGTGTCAGACAGGAGGCGGGTGGGGACCACGGCCCTGCCGGCCCTGCCTGCCGCAGCCCAGAGCAAGCACCCCTACAGCTGCTGCTGGGGGTGAGACCCTTGCTCCCAAGGCCGGGCTTTAGGGAGAGAGAGGGGAGGTCGCCTCAAGCCACAGCTGGCACCATGGCACTGGTGGCACTGGCAGCCCCACGCACGCCCGCCCCTCTCCCCAGCGGCTCCTCCAGGCCCCTGTCCGCTGTGCCTGGTCTCCTGGAGGCCAGCATGGCCACTGAGCCACGGCACATCCTCATGTCGGGGCCCCACGCCAGCTGTCCTCGCTCAGAGTGAATGAGCACCGGGGAGGGAGCTGCGGCTCCTGGGCAAGCGGGCTGAGGTCCGGGGTCCTCAGAGGCACGCGGGGGATGCAGCCCCACCGACACCATGGGAAGACAACGTGAGCAGCAGGCACCGGGCCGGGGCCGGTGGGAGGGGCCCCTGGGGGAGGGGGACGCCGAGGTT